TCCTGGATGACTCTTTGAGGAAGGCAGCCAGCATACCATAGATCATATGAAGTAATATAGAGAAACAACTAAAACTAGAAACCAGTAAGTATAGTTTCCTTGCCAGAAAATTTTAGAACCCTTGTCCTAATAGTCTTGTATTTTCTCAGGGAAATATGCAATAAATATTTATATCCCCATGATAGTTACCATTTATTAAGCTAAATATGCCATACATTTTGCTAAGAATTTAACAAATATTATCTCATTTACATAACAACTGTATGAATTGAGTGCTAGTGTTAGCCCAATTTTCTGGAAGAGAGAATAAAAAACTTACCCAAACCTATGCTGCTGCCCAGTGTCGGAGCCAGGGTTTGAACTAAGATTATCCAATACAACGTTCTTACTCTCTTAACAATTCTACTGGAATGTTCCTCTGGCTAGCCATCATCTGTCATTCACTTACCTATGAATATAATCCTCAAAATGCACATCAGAATTATGAGTTTTTCCCTGCTTTTAATCTTCCTGAACTTTGCTGTCATATTTTTATACAAAAAATATTTTAAATATTTGTGTATCATAGAGGTGTCTGGTTGGCTCAGTTGGTTAAGCATCTGCCTTTAGTGCAGGATGATCCCAGGGTCCTGGGAATAAGCCCCACGTGGGGCTCCCTGCTCAGTGGGGAGCCTGTTTCTTCCTCTCCCTCTGCCCCTCTCCCTGCTTGTGCTCTCTCACTCTATCTCAAATAAATAAATAAAATCTTGGAAAAAAAAATATGTGTGACATACTTATGAATGCTCTTTCGAGTACACAGTTGTGAACTAAAGTTATTTTGCCCAAATGTGTAAACTTTTATATTAATGGACACTTAAAAATTATAGGATGATGTTTATCAGAGATGAGAAAAAAATTATTTTACATTTTCAATGTAGTAATACGTTCAAATGTGATTATAAGAACAGAAATGGTATCTGCCAGGGGTCAAGCGCAGGAACAGAAACCACGCTATTTTAAGTGGAGAATATTTCATACAGGGAGTTAGGTGCTTACAAAGCTGAAGGTTGGACGAACAAGCTCTGGACTGGGTCTCTAGGAATAACTCTAAGAACGATGCTGCTAAAAGAAGTGTCCTTCCAAGAGAGCTCATCCTGTGAGCCATCGGGAGATTGGGTGAGCCATCGGGAGATTGCCATTTGATTACACTTTCTTCAATCCAGGGGTCAGTAAGTGGCTGGAACTGCCTCCTGACATCTGTAAAGCTGGGGATAGGACATCAGAGCACGGCTGTTGCAAAACTCAATAGCTGAAGATACAGAAAGATGCTCCCCTACACACTTCTACCTTTGAAATCTAAAACTAGTGCATGGAATTGATGTAACCTCATCTTTACCTAGAAGGAGTGCTGCAAGGGATGCTGAGAATTACAGGGTTTAGCCTCCAGGCTCTGTTGTAGAGGAAGGCACCCTAGAAGGAGTTTGGGGATTAAGTGCCAACAGAAGTTTTCTACCACACGGCACATAATGAAACAACATAGCCTGGAGTTCCTACAGCAGTGAGGCAGACCACAGTCTGTGTCTCACGGGCAAACCACCGCCTCGGTAACTGATAGAGCAGCCCACAGCCCTTCATGGAATGTTGTCTAACACACCCCATCGGAATTGCTACAGAAACAGGTACCAAGAGAAAAGAAACCGGGCTTGTGAATTTTTTTTAAACATGTCTAACTTGCCCCTTGCTAAAAGCCTTTTTGTCTCCAGGGGTTACATACTGGCAACAGACATGTGCTAGTTGCCTTGAAGAAACATGTTTTAAGGCCAAAACAATTGACGAGAATTAGCGATGTTCTTGTCTGTGTGTCAACAGAGACCGGAAAATAATTCAGTGTAATAACACGAGAAAAATGCTTATGATACAATATTAATTTTAAAGGCATGCAAAATCACAGAGTATGATCACAATATATCATAAAACAATGAAATCCTACCAGCAATCAAAGAATAATGAGATATACTTACCCACCAGTGTAACAAAAATTGAAAAGACAGATAATCTAATGTTGGTGACTATGGGAAGAAATAGGTAGTCTTATATAATTTAGATTTGAATATAAATTGGTTCAGCAGTAGCTACTGAATGTGCACACCCTTGAAGACAGTAATATGTAACATGTAGTTATCAGAGAAAAATGTTCCTCTGTGTACAAACAGGCAAGTACTAAGAATGTGTATGGCCACCATGGGTGTTCTAGCAAGAGCCTGAAAGCTCCAAATATGGCCATCAAATGCAGAGAATAAATACATTATAGATATTCATATAATGAAGTATTAAGTTGTTTTTAATATGGATGAGATAGACATCTTTGTACTATATTTTCTGTTATAGAGAATATAATAATGTATTATTAAATTTAAAATCAATTGCATAAAATATTAAACCAAAATCTGATCATTTAAATCCATTTTACCTTATTAAGAATAAGATGCATCAGGTCATCCCTTCATAAGGTAAAATGAATTTTAGTTCTCACATTTTGTTTATTCTTGTATAAAGTGCAAACAGACTGTGAGTAAAAATGTGATCACTTCCTGTAAAAATTCATCCATGAGACCATTTTTGCTCTTTGCCTTAAATTTAAACACTTACACCTCAGGAGCTCCTATTGGGCTTCCAACAGTTCATTACGATTTTTTAAAATGTTCAGTGATCAAATATATTGTATTATAAGCCAGTTGAGGAGAGTGGTTCTCAAAGGGAGACAGGGACAATAACATCAGATTCTGGAAAGAGAATGAAAAAAGAGCAGTGGATGTTAGTGATTTTTATATTTACAAACAATTTCTGAAAAATTTTAAAGCACATAAAACCAGAATCACATCATTTTCAAAGATGGAAATGTCAGCAATATTACTCCTCCTCTATAGAAAAGATTCCTTCAAAGTAACTGTATACAATAAAGTTCCTTGGATTTTTCTTTTTTGTTTTTGTCACCAAATAAATTTAGAAGATTATGTTTCCCTTTCTCAAAACTATGGTTCTATAATAAGGGTATAAGGGTATAACTATAATATATAGTTTTTTTTAAAGCTGTACAGGCATAAAAAGCATATAAATCATGCACACACACATTCAAGAATTAAAATCACCTCAATAAACACACTTTTTGTGTCAAAAGTAAATTGTAGCATGCAAGAGTAAGGAGATTGAAGATAAAGGATCTAGGTTTTGATTGGGGCCCCAACACTTACTAATAGTGAGATTTTCAATAAGTTATTTATCTGAGTTGCTATGAAGAGTAAATGAGTTTATATAATGTAAACTTTAAAAACACAACAGAAGGCTGCTGTGATTTCATGTCATGAATTTGCCAATGTTGTGAGAAGTGGACTGTAAGGGAGAAAGAGTGGAAGCATTACTAATAGGAGCTCTCACTTACTGAACCTTTATCATGAGCCAAATACTCTACCAAGGGCTTTTAATAAGCTGATTCCTCACTTCTACTCAGTGTGGTACATACTATATCAGGGGGAACCATGGCACCTGGCTGTAGGTCAAAATGGTCAATTATCAGCAATTTCATATGGTTTAAACTATCATCTGGCCCAGATTCGAGAAAGTGAAACAGAGAGACTAAGTGGCCTAAGTTAAAATAGCCAGTACCTGGTAAAGACAGGTTTGCAAGCCACACAGCTTTATGTCTGAGACCGATAGGCTATATACATTCCCAGAAAGAAATCAGATCTAATAGTTTAGGAGGAACAACCTCTAAGTTTTAATCAAGAATTATTTCCATGGAGGGAAATAAAGAATTATTTCCGTGGTATTAGAGAATATACAAGGAGTCAAAAAATGATGCCACAGGAAATTCAACATAAAGATCAAATGTTTATGTTAATTAAAATACCCCATGCTTGTTCCTGCTTCTGGCATTACCCTTCTCTTCAAAGAGTTCTTACCTTCATTCAGCCAACAAATATTTACTCAAAATCAGGCTCAGTCTCTAACCACCTACAAGAAAGAGCTTCTTTTCCACTTCACCCTGAATTCTTACCAACTGGAATTTATCCTGTAATAGAATTTTACCTTTTAATAGATCTGATTTCTTTTAACAAAGGTAAAAGTTTATTGGGGAAAGCTCAATAAATGTTCAATTTGAGAGTCTACCACGTCTACCATACATGAAATTTAATAGGAGGAAAGAATCACAACCATGTCTAAGGGAATGGCTGGTAAAATCCCTGATCTCACCGGATGCAGTGTTCTCTTTAATCTAAACTCATCTGGAAACTGCCCTAAAATACTCTTTCATATGCTTAGGCCTTATCTTTGGAACTGGAGTTTTAGCTTCCCAAAGGCAAAGATTAAGTCTTACTCGTGGACTTCACATCCTGTCCAGCAAATAGTGTAAGACATTAGACCTGTAATGAATGAACATGAAGAAAAACGCGCAGCTCCCGGGGAAAGACCGTGAGAAAGAAAATGAACTAAGAGGGTAAACAAGCAATGAAGTGGCACTTTGCCTTAACACCCGCTTTTGAGAACAAAAACCAGCTAACATTTCAACGCCTCGGTAGGGGATTTCGCTGTCTTTTTAAAGAGGTGTGGAAGGAAATCACCAGCGCGACCGCCCATTGGCTGGGAGGCGAGACCGCGAGCGCCGCTGGCGAAGCTAGGCGGAGGGGGCACAGGCCGGCGCGCCGTCTTCTGACCGGCAGGGGGAGCCCTGCCGAGCGCCGCGTCCCGCGCCGCCCCGCCCCGCGCGCCCCGCGCTCACTCCGCTGCGCGCCCGCCGCCCGGCGCCACGCCCGCCACAGGCCAAGGGCCAGTCACCCGCGTGCGGGCGTGGGTCCCGCTGCTCTCTCGGCGCCCCGCCCCGCCCGGCCCGGCCCCGCCGTGGGACGGGTAACGGTTACCAAGCACTTTCTCAGGCGCGATTTCTGCTTAGTCATTGTCTTCCAGGAAACGGTCCCTTCAGTTGGGAGTCAACTCTCCGGCGGCGGCCGCAGTAGCAGCTGCAGCCGCCGCGGCCAGCGCGTCCTTCCCGGGCCACCGCTCCGCCACCGTCCGGCCTCCCTCGGTCCCGAGCGCAGGCCGAGGTCCCGCCGCGTGGGGCGGCCAGCCTCGCGCTCGGCTCTCCGGCCTCGGGCACCGCGTCCTGCGGGGCGGCCTCCTTCCTCGCCTGCGGCCCCGTCGCCGCCTGGCCCGCCTCCGTCGGCCGCTGCCATGGGCACCGACAGCCGCGCGGCCGGGGCGCTGCTGGCGCGGGCCCGCACCCTGCACCTGCAGACGGGGAACCTGCTCAACTGGGGTCGCCTGCGGAAGAAGTGCCCGTCCACGCACAGCGAGGAGGTGAGAGACGCGGGGCTCCCGGGGCAGGCCGCGGGCGGGGCGGCTCCCAGAGGGAAGCAGCGCCCGGCGGGGAAGGCGGGCGGGCGGGCTCCGGGCGCCGGGTGAGGCGCGCTCCTGGGCTCCGCCGGCGCGGGGAGGCTGGGGCCGCCGGGGTTGCGACGTCGCCTCCAAACCTGTAGCGGGGGCCGCGTGCCTTAAAACGCTTGGCAGGTGCAAATTCATCCCGAGGGACGCATCCGTCCGTGCTCCCGGCCGACGGCCGAACTAGCCAACGTACTGGACCCCTCTTCGTTGCGAGGGCCAGGGGGGTGCAGAGAGGACCAGCACCTCCCTCCCAGCCTCTCACCCCCCCCTTCCCCCCACACCGCGACAGGTGAAGACGTAGGTTTCAGAGATTCGCTTTTCTAGGATTCAGGTGAAGGTAGTAGTAATAATCCACTTAGCTTTGAGGCTGTTGGCAGTAGTCACTCTGTTGCTATGAGATAAAGGACTCACATTCGACTTTGGAATAAGGTATGCATTTTTCTTGCTGCAATTTAATCTGCCTCATCGTATTTGCCTGAAGACTCGTCGCTAGTTTAAGGTGGCAGAGACGAATCTGGAATTCTACACGTGCTACATATTCGGGCCGCAGCGGCTCCTTCCTGAGCCGAGAGTCAGAGTGCCCAGTGAACTGCGGAGGCATACCGCTGGTATGGGACGGTGTCGGTACTGAAAAATAACAGTGAATAAAAGCAAACCTTTAATTTAGGAGCTGTGTGACTTTGGGAAAGTTACCTTCTCTGAGTCTGTTTACATAACTTCGAAGTTGGATAATGGTACAGTCTTCATCAACTCACTGTGAGGATTAAAAGACGTAATCTAGGACAACGCTCACCATGGAAGCATTTATCTCCCTTTTTACCAAGATTTTATGTTTATTTGATAGAGCGCACGTAGGCAGAGCAGCAAGCAGAGGGAGAGGGAGAAGCAGGTTCCCCGCTGAGCAGAGAGCCCGATGGTGGGGCTGGATCTCAGGGCTCCAGAATCATGACCCTAGCTGAAGGCGGACACTTAACCGACTGAGCCACCCAGGCGCCCCTTTTTATCAAGATTTTAAATAAATCTTGATTAAAAGAAAAATGTCTTGTGCCATATTATAGTATCAGCTGTTTTCCTAGGCAGTTTGGGCTCTTTTATATAAGATGTTGGTGATACACTATGCAGCAGCCCATGGCATCCCCCTGAGTATGCTCTGGGCCTGTGACCACCCATCAGATGAGAACTCGTGGTTGTAACTTTAATAACAACCAAACTCTGTACCATTATTCGGTGACCAGGTTCCATCCATCTCAGTCTGTATACCTTTTTTGTTTAAACCGCCCCCACTTTGACTATTTCTCCCCCAAATAAATATTTCTAGATTTAGTTCTGTTCTTTCAATTTCCTCCCAGAGATCCTGGTTCAATATACCATTTTCCATATATACTGACAGTATTGGGTGAAATTTTTGCTCTCTTGTTTCACTACAGCACGCTTTAAAGTAGTGGCCTTTAAAATGTTTTGACTTTTGCAAACCCAGTAAGAAATTTTACCTTACAATCTAGTTCATAGTCCATAAGGACAGAAAGTAGGATGAGTGGTTGCCTTGGACTGGAGTAAGAAGGGTGGGTAGTGATTGCTAGTGGGTACATGGACGTGTTCTAAAATTGGATAGTGATGATGGCTGCACAGCTCTGTAAAACTCTTCACAAACCCTTTAAAAACATGGAATCGTGCACTTAAGTGAATTTTGTGTGTAAATTATACTTCAATAAAGTGCTAAATCTATCTCAAAGGTTTTATGGATATATTAACCTTTAGTATATACTGTGTATTCTACCTTTTTTAATCCTATTTTAATTTTTAAAAACTCTTTATTTCTTAATGCAGTGAGTCACACTCCACCGTTTGAAAAACATTGTTCGAAGGACTAAATCTAATTTGGTTTTTTGGGGGGGAAGTGCTACATAAGAGGGACAAAATCAGCTAGAAAGCATTTGAGGAAAACTTGAAGATAGGGCAGCATATTGTAGGAAAAAAGACAGTTTAGTGAGGAGAGACATTTTTTTTTCCATGTAAAACAAAACAAAACTTTATAACAGACAGAGCTCCAAATTGGGATATGCTACTTGAAATAGTTCAGCCTTGTGGAATAAAAAAAACTGAATAAATCACTCATTAAGAAAATCTAAACATTGAGTATAGAGTTAGATTAGGTTTCCTAAAAGATCTCTCCTAGTTCTAATGTGTATTTTTTTTAATTCCATTATCTTTATTTAAAGATTTTTTTTTTCTATTTTTTATTTGACAGAGATCATAAGAAGGCAGAGAGGCTGGCAGAGAGGAAGGGAAGCAGACTCCCTGCAGAGCAGAGAGCCAGATTTTTTTTTTTTCCACTAGAACTTTATGAAATCAAATCTTGTGTTTTAAATGAGCCATTATAGAACTGTTTTGCTCAGTTCTTTAAGAGTATTTGGGCAGGTGAATCATAAAGTATATTTAAAATTCTTATATGGTTCCAGATCTAATGATATACTACATTATGATGATACTTACTTCAGTGATTCTATGCATATTTGATAAAAATGAAGAGAACAAAATACAAAGTTAATGAGATGTCAATATAGATAATAAAAGATTAGAAATAATTATGTTTGTGATACAGCCAATGAATTTCTCATCGTAACATTGTTTTGTGATTTGTCTTGACATTTTGTGGAATCCAAGATTAATTAAAGAAATTATTTCAAGAAGGGGCTGAATACTCTGAAAATGTACTTACCTTCCTGAATTGAGCTTTTTATCAGGAAAGCCTTAAGTATGCAAGTAAGCCGTCCTTCCAGAGGAAAATTCTTAAAATTCTCCCATGATTTGAGCCAAATTATTCTGATAGAATTGTTAACTTCTTTTCCTGCTGCCCCAACTTTTACCATTTTTGAAAAGAATATTGACTTGTAATTCTGTCTGGAATAATTATCAACTAATTTTTATTTAGTATCTTAAATTTGGTTATAAATATATTTCCCATGAAGATAGAGACATTGTAGATTGAATTCATGTGGGTTATTATGGATGGAACATACCGTTTTTGTTGTGGCGTATGAAGTGTAATGTAGATGACTCTGAGCTCTCAAACTGATAAACCACTTATCCCTTGTAATTATCTGTACTAAGATAAAAGCAGTAGAGTGCTGTGTCAGTTTTTATCATCAGAAATCATAGATCAGTGAGTTCAGAAGTTTAGTCCTTGTTATTGCTAAAGGAAAGTGCTTTTGCAGTTACTCATTTATTTTTTTCATTGATTGACCACAGAATGCAAAGCACTGTGTCCTTGATGTTCATAAGGTAGTGATTTCAAATTGTTAGTGTTGCCCATTAGCAGTCATAAATCAGTTTGGTGAGCCATAGAACAGCATGTTTTTTTTCTAATTAATAGAATAGAAGCCATCAGAGTGCCTCATGTGTAATGAACATAGCGTTTTGTAAATTTTTTGTTCTATGTATTTAGGCCCTTACTCTCTATATGAATGTATGTAAGTCTTAACTTTGGTGCTTTATCAGACAAGTCTGAAATACACTGTCATAAGAAATGAAAGATGCATGAACAGTTTAATGGATTTACAACATACTAGAATGTTAGTGTAAATAAGTTTGTACAAGAAAACACTGAAGACCAGTTGGAGGTATACGTGTTAGGAAATGATACATGGGCTGACATTATGCAAGTTGACTTATGTAAGGTAGGACTGTGGTGGTTGTCAGACGTTACATGCTGATTTCTTGGGATGCTTGTTAAAATGCAAGTTCTGCTGCCCTTAGAGTAATTCAGCAGTCTAGGATGGGGCTCAGGAACTGGAATTTTTAATGAACACATCAGGTGAATAATGGAGTTTTTCTGGCCACACTTAGAGTCATTTATTTGTCTTTAAGGATTCTCTCATAGTGGTTAATATTAATTTTAGTCAGGCTCCCTGAGCTTGAATTCATGTTCCTCTATTTATAAACTTTATTCTTGAAAAATTTTGTTTCTTTGTGTATGCTTTTATGTCTCAAAGCCTTACTTAAACTTTCATTGGTACAAAGACACTTTAAAAATACTTCAACATTTGAAGGTTAAGATGAAAACAGATACAAACTTGTCTTTTTTGAAGAAAATGTAAACCTTATAGAACTAAAATTTTGGTTTTTATGGTTTTTCCTATTCACATCTTTTTCAACTAATTTATCAAATTAGTATATTCTTGCTGTAGAAGTACAGCAGAGTGTATAGAGTTTGATTAATGGTTTCAAAATGCATTCCTTTTACAGCTTCGAGATTGTATCCAAAAGACCTTGAATGAGTGGAGTTCCCAAATCAGCCCTGATTTGGTCAGGGTAAGTAAAATGTGAATGAAGAAATTATGTAGGTCAAAAGGAAAATGCAGTAAGCAGGAAATTAATTTCCCCAATTTTGATGGGGAAGTCAAATAGGCAATTAGCACAAAATTCCCTGTGGCTGATTTACTGAGATGGCTGTCTGACCCAGTATGCTTAAGCATAAAACATAAAATCCAGGGTGTGTCACCAACTCTGCAACTAGACTAGATACCAGGATTCTTTGTGCTTAATTCCCATCACACTTTTCTTCACTGTGTTCCAGTTTATATTTGGTCTAATAAAGAAATGACTATTTAACAGTTTTGGTTGTTAAATTGCTTTGGTAGAATATCATAATAATATAGTGACTAGAAATAGTTTTTTAATGTCAGTTTTAAGGGAAACACTGAGTATTTCATTAAGTGTTAATAAATGACTTACCATCAATGTTAATATACAGACCACCTGTCTGCAAACCATTCTTTGGAATCCAGCTGAGCCAAAGGCTCATAACAAATTACGCTGGCTACTTTAAAACTATGGACGAAGACATGTGCTGGAAAGAGTTGTTGCCGTGGGCATTCTGCAAGTGTAAACTCTATAGCAGCTAGGCAGATGTTGATTAATGTCTTCTGTCAGTCTCTGTTTCTCTGAAATGACCATTTGCCTCTATTTACGCATGACTGACAAACACTAAGCCCTTGATATGTGCCAGGCATTGTAATGTGCTCCAGAATTATGGGAAAGGCCTCACTGTTTACTTTGTTTCAATCTTGTAAATGTGAGTTAATATAGTTCTGATTTATATGTGCTAACATCTTACCATTTTCCTCATAAATTATTAATTATAATGCATTAGAATTGCCTTTACTTTTTTTATTGCGCTCAGAAAAAAAGTCTTGGTTTAAAATGTTTGCGGTTAATATAGGAAGCTTTTAACATGTCTTTATGCAGAATGGGTAAATATTTATTATTTTTCATTGCTTTCATATTTTAAGTAAAATTATATACTGTGCTAGTAGTTCTAACTCCTCACATGCTGTCCCCACCACCACCATTTGTTTGGGTTTTTTTGATCATGCATTCCTTTGAGCACCTGATCAAAATGAGATCCTCTTCCCCGGAAAATGGACACACACAGAGCATTTTACCTTTGTTTCAGGGCTTTACAAACCTTATGAAGCCCATCCAGACATCAGGTAAAGAACCCTGTTATCTTATGGGTTCCCTGTTTCTAAAGGGCATTATGGACAATAGAAAACATATAGCTAATTAAAAACATTAATTTTATATTTATTGTAAACATTGTTTATTATAGGAATTTCCAGATGTCTTGGAATGTACCGTATCTCATGCAGTAGAAAAGATAAATCCTGATGAAAGAGAAGAAATGAAAGTTTCTGGTAAATCCAGCCTTTACAACTTATTTTGTTATATAGTGGAAATGATAGTGAGGTTTCGTCAGGCAGGGAGGAAAAGCCTTTCTTTGCTTCTGGTAAGGAGTGACTCCGTCACTAAGTGTGAGAAATATACAGATTCTTTTTTTTAAACATTTTATTTATTTATTTGAGATAGATAGCAAGTAAGCGAGGGAGAGAGAGAGAGAGAGAGCGTGCAAGCGCGCACAAGTGGGGAGGAATGGGAGAAGCAGACTCTGCCTGACGTGGGGCTTGATCCCAGGACTCTGGGGGCATGACCTGAGCTGAAGGCAGACACTTAGCCAACTGAGCCACCCAGGCGCCCCTATATATTCTTTTTTAAACATAATGGAAACTCCCAAGAGAAAGTTATAGGAGGTCAGTTTTGGCTCCTTAAATGGAGTCAGAAGAGGACCTTACCTTCCTGTTCTTCATCATGGTCTCATTAATTTATATGTCAGACTTCAGGAAAACTAAGGTGGAGGAAATGGAAAGAATAAAGGGAATGCTTAAGAGCAGTGTCTGTCCAAAGCAATCATAGGCCCTCCCTTCCTGGTGGAACACTGCTGAGCAATGGCTGAAGTTGCCTGGAAGTATAGATGGAAGTCTGGGCAACAAGTTGCATGAAGAGAAATAAAATCCATGTTATACTCATTCAACAAATGTATCGAGTAACTATTTATGAGAGACCATGCTAAGCTCAAGGAATAAAAAAATGAAGAGATGAGCTGTTCTTGTCCTCAGCTTACAGTCAGCATAGAATAGACATTAAAAGCTTAAACTTAACTAGATTGAAATTCTTCAGTATGCAGATTACTGACTGGTATAATCTTGGGCTAACAAGTTATTCGACCTCTCTGAGCCTCATTTTCTCATCTGTAAAATAGGGATGCGTCTGTTTCACAGGATTCCTTGTAAATTAGATAAAATTTTTAAAAATGCACTTAGCACAGTGCTTAGCAAAAAGTTAAGTGCTAAGTAGCTGTTAACTTACTACCATTTGTAGTTTTGTGTTGGTTGTTATTTTTGATTAGCGTGGACATGTAAGATGAGATATAGGGCATTGTTTTTTTGACTCCATAATTACCATTTATTGAGTCTTGTTTTATGCCAGGCACCATACTTAGTGCATTTTGGTTACATTTCTTCACATGATTCTCAAAGCAATTCTACAAGGTAGAATTATCCCCATTGCACAAGAGATGTTAAATAACTTGAAAGTTGTCGTATAACCAGTAAGTGGTTGAACCGGGAATCCATCCAGGTATGCCTAACTCCAAAACCCATTTCTTTCTATTAATTTCACATTGCTTTCTGTGTTGGAAAGGAACTAAAAGCAACCTCTTCTCTGTGGTTGATTGCAGTTCCTAATGGTTTAGATCCATCTTGAAGCTCTTACGGGTTGTTCTCAGTTCTTAGAAGGCTTGAAATTTTTGATATATCAAAATTCTCCCCATATGAAGAGCTTTCCTTTCTCTACCAAGAATGCCTCTCATTTCGGAGAAAGGAGACCATTTCTAATGGCACAAATTTGTGGCAAGAGGGATAGTGGTAGGGAGGGTTTCATGGAGTATAATTATTGGAGCTATGGGTGGATTAAAGTGGTGAAGATTGGGGCGCGCGGGTGTCTCAGTGGGTTGGAGCCTCTGCCTTCAGCTTGGGTTGGGGTCCTGGGGGCTCTCTACTCATCAGGGAGCCTGCTTCCTCCTCTCTCTCTCTCTCTCTCTCTCTTTCTGCCTGCCTCTCTGCCTACTTGTGATCTCTATCTGTCAAGTAAATGGATGAAATCTTAAAAAAAAAATGTTATTTTAAAGTGGTGAAGATTGACTCTCACCTGGTTGGTAGGGGAGTGGTGATGACTTTTAAATAGAGAAATCCAGTGAGGAAAACAATGCTTTAAGATTATCTAGCAGTAGAAAGGAAAGGACAAATAAATGTACAAGGTAAATTTGTTTTGTTTGTTGAATACATATTTACATTGAATACAGTTTACATATAGATATTTCATTAGCCCCCTTTTCTCTCCATTTCCTTTTCTGATTTCCTCTACTACTACTCTGCCTATTTGTCTACTGAGTAAATTTAGATTTTGAACAGTGAATTTACATAAAGTAAATCTATATAAATAAATTTGAGTTTGAATCACGTTAAAGCCTCAATTTTAATAGAAAACTACTCTGCTTTCCTGGTAACCAAAGAAATGCCAATTAATGCAGTCCTGGATAGGTATATATTATACATACTAAATTAGCAAAAACTATATTTTTTATAGTGTCATACGTTGTTAGGAGAGCATTTTTTTTTTAAAGATTTTATTTATTTATTTGACAGACAGAGATCACAAGTAGGCAGAGAGGCAGGCAGAGAGAAAGGAAGGGAAGCAGGCTCCCTGCTGAGCAGAGAGCCTGATGCAGGGCTCCATCCCAGGACCCTGGAATCATGACCTGAGCTGAAGGCAGAGGCTTTAACCCACTGAGCCACCCAGGCGCCCCAGGAGAGCAATTCTTAAGTTTTAGTTAAGTTTAGTTGGCTAGTTAAAGTTAAGTTTTTAGTTAAGTTTTAGTTGGCTTATAAACTGGTACAAATCTTTTATATGAAAGTAGGAAGTAAGTAAAATAGAACAAAACTCAGGGCACCTGGGTGGCTCAGTCAAACATCTGATTTTGGCTCAGGTCCTGATCTCAGAGTCCTAGGATTGGGCCCACATCCTGCCATGCTCAGTGGGGAATCTGCCTCTCCCTCTCCTTCTGCCCCTCCTCCAGGTCATGCTCTCTCTCTCTCTCTCAAATAAATAAATAAAATCTTTAACAACAACAACAAAAAAAGATCCACAAAGAGGAGCATACCTTTTGACTCATACACATTTCTGACAGTTTGTCCTTGGGAAATGCTTCAGCAGAAAGTTGAACAAAGTAACAAGATGTTTATTTTAGCATTGTATGTGATAACAAAAAACTGGAACTAATGTAAATGTTCAAAAAGTAGGAAATCATTTGAATTATACCCTATCAAAATTACAGAATAATGTTTAACTGTTAAAAATGAGTGTGTAAAATTATTCATGAAAAATAGAGTAAACAAAAACCTAAACAGTGACTGCATTCAGTGATGAGACTGTTGGCCATTTTTTTTAGTCTATCTTTCTACTCTTGGGTTTTTCTCATTTCTGTTTTTTCCCCATTTTTAAAAATTTAAATTCAGTTAATTAACATATAATGTATTGCTAGTTTCAGAGGTAGAATTCAATTGATTCATCAGTCTTATATAAGACCCAGGGCTCCTTACATTACTTGCCCTTCCTAAGGCCCATTGCCCAGTTACCACATTCCCCAACGCCCTTCCGCTCAGTTTTTCTCATTTCTAGAGTGAATATATATTACTACTATGATTTAAAAAAAAAAAGTCAAAAGAACTAAAAACTTCATAAAGTTGTAAAAAATATTACATAAAGGTAAACTAAATAGAAGTAGAATAAATGTTATACCCTGCCCCATATGACCAAAAGCTAGAAGCTAATGTCTAAAAATTAAAATGACTATCTTAGGAAGATGGGATTGTGCGGGATTTTTTTGTTTTTCTTCACATTACAAGCAATTTTAGCATAGCCTTTTATTAATTTTAGTTTATTGGAGAATGTATATAATATGTTCCATTTCCAATAATATTCATAAAAATGTACATTTTGAGTAATTTATACATTTGTGTGACCTGCCTTCTAATAAATGGAAAATTAGTATTTGCTTTTTTGTTTTGACAAATGGATATTTTTTGGCAATTGGCATGTAATTTAAAAATCACAATGGAAAGGTACTTTCATATCTTAAAATGAAAACCATAAAATTATGTGACTAGGAAAGAAAAGGTAATTCATTCAGGATCTCTGTCAACTTAGTATTGTGGGCAGTGTTGATACTGTCTAGTAAAATGTTACCAAAATGTAGTAATCAGTTTTGTTTTTTTTGCTACCCAGCAAAACTCTTCATTGTAGGATCAAACTCTTCATCATCAATGAGAAATGCAGTTGACATGGGTAAGCAAAAACTTTGTTTAACTTTTTACCTCCATAACTTTATTTTTTTTTTAAAGATTTTATTTATTTGACAGAGAGGGAGACAGCAGGAGAGGGAGCACAAGCAGGGGGAGTGGGAGAGGGAGAAGCAGGCTCCCCACTAAGCAGAGAGCCTGATGCAGGTCGATTCCAGAACCCTGGGATCATGACCTGAGCTAAAGGCAGATATTTAACCGACTGAGCCACCCAGGCACCGAACCTTCATAACTTTAAATTAGTGTAGGTGTATTAGTTATATCTTGTGTTCAGGACCAGGTGAAAAAAAAGATGAGCTCATTCCAATTTTACTTTTTAAAGTTCTAACCTAATTTCTTAAGGCTTCTGTCAGATCATATGGATTTGTAGGTTCATATTTTGATATATATGAGGCACATAAAAGATGTAACATAATTGTTAACTATATGTTTGGAGATGAAGTTCTCCTTAACCATATTTCTTAGCCCTTATAGTACTATAGATAAAACCCCATGACCTGCCATCGCCACAGTAACAAAGCAAGCATTCTCATCTTTGTTTACTTGGTTAGATTATTGTGATATTACAATGCAACGTTTTTTCTTTTAAAATATTCTTCCAGTATTATAGGTGTTAAACACTTAAATAATTAGCTCTTTACTATAACTATGGAATAAACAATAATCATTTAAAATAAACCCTTTAAATTATTTTTACAGAAATTAAATTATCTACCTCTATAAATATAGATTAGGACCATAAATTTAGTTTTTCAGGGTCTCAAAGCTATTGTTTGCCATGACTATCAGTTACAGAATATGAGGTCAGAATTCTTGTGATCATCCATACAAGATACTATTAGAACTGGAGAAGAAAATTTGAAGATAAAGAAGTTACCAGAAAATGCTCGGGGCCTAGGAAACAAGGAGACTGTTCCCCTTCGGACTGTCAGAGCTGTGAGTCCCTAGGAAGGAAGCAGGTCAAAGAAACTGATCGGTCTGCCACACAGACCAAGTAAATGAACAGGGATTTGTAATTTTTTAAGGGATGGCAGTGTTCTAAATGGTAGGTAAATTATGAAACTGAATGAAATAATCCAAATAAGAAAACCAGTGAACTTTACAGACAAAATTTAGTGGGATACATGAGGGACATTAGAAATACTTGTTTTCATTATGTAGCAAATATTTATCCTGTTTTCCTTCACATCAGCCTGTTCCGTTCTTGGAGTCGCACAGCTGGATTCTGTGATCATTGCTTCACCTCCTATTGAAGATGGAGTTAATCTCTCCTTGGAGCATTTGCAGCCTTACTGGGAAGAATTAGAAAACTTGGTTCAGAGCAAAAAGATTATTGCGATAGGTACCTCCGATCTAGACAAAACTCAGTTGGAACAGCTGTATCAGTGGGCACAGGTAAAGCACAGCTAGATCACAAGTGCTCTGGGAGGGGCCTGTCCTTTAGTCTTTGCTTCACACTGTTCAGTGTTGTGCTGGACACTCATGGGGGGCTATTCTAAATGCAGTTTGGCAAGCTTTATCTAAAGCACTGGCCTTTTTCATCTCAAATGTATATTTAATTGACCTTAGTATTAATCTCATTTAAAAGGAGTGAAAAAAACACTAGAAAATTTGGCTACAAACACTGAAGTGTTTGTAGCCAAGATGAATTCAGGCTATTTCCTTCAGTTTTACTTTTGTGATAAAAATACTATATTTTTCTTTAGATATGGTTAGGTCTTGGTTCTGATTTCTTAGGTGAGGGAATATCACATGGAACAAATATTTTGCTCTTATTTGAAAGTATAAAAGACTTTGGTTCATAGAATTCAATAAGGAATAGGCATCACAAATTAATCACTACCACCCTCTGGCCTCTAAAAACATATGATATTATTTAGGGACAGTGCTTACCAGTATTTTACCTTTACTCTTTGTATTTTTCTTTATTCCTTTTACTTGATCCCCAGCCTTCTCTTTGCAGAGCTTTCAGTTTCTTATAGACGGGAAGACCTTAGAGAAAGTATTGTCCCTTCTCCCTTTAATTTAGTGAGAGCCAGAATATGGCTAAGATTCCACTAGAGAGACTTGGGTGATCTGGAATGTATCTGTAAATTAACCAGAGCAGCTATTAGAAATTATCTAATTCTTTTTCAAAATGCGCCTGATTTATAACCGTATTTTATACTTTAATGCTAAATGTTCTTATCATTTCTATTTGATCCTTTACCTTTAAGACCTGTTCCCTCATTAGCTGGAATCATCACTTAGAACATGTTTGTTTCTGAGGCAAGTGTATTAGATTGCAGGAAAAGAGTTTCTAAGAGTATAGCACTATATTGGCCTTCCCCCGCCTCCTAGAGCTTTCCTTTCCCTGTTATCACTAACATGAGTTTAAAAAGCGTACATTAATAAGTATATTCATATAACAATGTTTTATAAATTTTAAGCACTATAAAATGGAGTCTTTCATATTTTCTAAAATTGTGTTCTTTCATTGCTTTCCACTTTTTGTAGTACTTAATTTAGTGCAATGTCATGATTCTTTTCGCTTCTAGGTAAAACCAAATAGTAACCAAGTTAATCTTGCCTCCTGCTGTGTGATGCCACCTGACTTGACTGCATTTGCTAAACAATTTGACATACAGCTATTGACTCATAATGATCCAAAAGGTAATACTGAGATTTTCATTTGTTGATTGGTCATGAGCTTTTGTCTTACAAGAAGCTACTTGTTAAAATGTAATTTTTAATTTTGTACAATGATAAGTGTTACCTAGAACTTGTCTTCATAGTTAGTCCAAAATATATATACATTTAGTTTCAGAAAGCTTTAGTCTATCAATGAGAAAAAAAATTGAAGAGATCATTTTCTGAACATCCAGTCTGTTAAAGTTTATAAATACTATGATACACAAAAAAGACCTTGTAAGATATTCTAAATAGTATCATATAAAATCTTGTGTAGTACAGCAAAAATTGTACCAAACAGCCACTTAGTTAAAGAGGGCAAATATTTGGAAAGAGAGGCAGATAAAATTTAATTTGAAATTAAAGCATATTAGGATAGGTAATTGATTAGGTATTTTATTAGTCATTACTCTCAAGACCTGTATGTTTGGTACCAGTCAGAAACACTATTTGTTTTTTTTTGTTTGTTTGTTTGTTTTTTTTAAAGATTTTATTTAATTATTTGTCAGAGAGAGGGAGAGAGAGCAAGCACAGGCAGACAGAATGGCAGGCAGAGGCAGAGGGAGAAGCAGGCTCCCTGATGAGCAAGGAGCCCGATGTGGGACTCGATCCCAGGACGCTGGGATCATGACCTGAGCCGAAGGCAGCTGCTTAACCAACTGAGCCACCCAGGCGTCCCCAGAAACACTATTTGATTAATGAGAATGGCTTATCCGCCTTCTGTAGTGTGTTTTATCAACATTTTACAGGATAAGTAGGAAAGCTAGGAAGAGAATGTTTTACATTTTATACTTATTTATTTAGCAGTCTGCCCCATTCTCATTTTTTCTCTGTTTTGTAGGAAGAGGAAGAGTTTTAATAGTTTTTGCCCCTCAAATGTTAGGCATCATGCTAAATGCCTTAGAGAGATAACCTGTAATCCTCACAACAGCTGAAACTAGGCATTTTACTGTTGAGGAAGTAAGAGCCTCAGAATTTAAGAAACTAGCCAAGGTCACCCAGCTGGCATGGGGCAAAGTTTAAACTTGGACTTGGTTCTGGCTGAATTGGGACCTTTCCCCCTATATTGTACTATCTTTTTGATTTGAGACATTAGCATTGTAGTATTTCAGTCTGAAAACCTTACTTTCTTATTAGTTTCCATTTAATTGATACCAGAATAGGAGATAATGACTTTTGCCTCTCCCTTCATTAATTATTTTTGTAAGTAATTTGAAAAAAAAAAGTCATCTTAGTGAAAATTTAACAAAGAATTTCTATGCCTATTTATTCTGAAACATAAACCATTTAATTTCCAACTTTCTATATGTTGGCAGATACTATATCATTTTTATCTGTTTACTTTTGGAGGGGCCTGGGGGAGGCTCTTCCAAGAGTAATTATTATCAACAGCTGAGGGATGAGCCTGCATCCCCTTCTAGCTCCACTTGAAAAAAACCCTTTCCTTTTTCTAGTAGGAAAGGAAATAGGAAAAGACTAAGGTATCTGGTATTTTATTTCATTGGTATCTAGATATTGGCTTGAGGGTATGTGCTAATGCATTGTTGTTATTGCAAAATATATTGCATATACATTTGAGAAGAGAGGTTTAATCCTTTTTGGTATGTTTTTGCTTTAATGACGTAACTTGACATTTGAATGTCTTCCTAATTTTAATCCTAAACCCTTTGATTAGAATTTATAGGGTGATCCTGCTTATACCATTAATGAATCCATGAAGCAATTCTTTTTCTTAAAAGATTTATGGTGTTTATTGATTCTAAAGAGCTCACATAGTTAATTTAAAAGCATGTAGTTAAGTTGATGAATAGCATAGCTCTTATGTGTCACATTTTATTTTTTAAGCAATCAGTTTGTAAAACATTTAACTCTACTTGTCATCTAAAAAAGAGTTATGTTTATAAGTCCCCTTTAAAACCCATCGGCTATGCTAAAATTACCCTATTCTTCAGAAAGTGCTTATTTTCCATTACTCTTTGTCCTAGAAGTTGTGGTAACAGTTTAACTACAGTAAGGGTGAAATTGTGAAATAGGTGATCCTGACTCAGAACCTTCACCCTCACCTCATTCCCATTAAATCTGATCTGCCTTATGCCTTATTCCTTCCAGGTCCTGTTCTCTGTCAGATAGACTCATAAATTCATGTTCATGTTACTTTTCCAAAGAGATACTTGCCTTCCACTTATGAAAGCTGCCATTTACTGGCTGCATGACCTTGGGCAAGTTATCTAACCTCTCTGCCTCAGTTGCCCCCTGGAAAAGGAGAGAATATTACCTAGTAGGGTTAATATGCAGATTAAAGGAGCTAATACATGTAAAATACTCAGAAAAGTGCCTGGCACGTGATAACAGCTAACATTTACTGACAGTTTACTATTGATGTTACTCAGATATCACAGCAGTTCTTTTGGGTCTGGCAGGTCCTTTAGCACTCCCAAACCATACTGTATAGATGGTCACTTAGTTTCTGTCTGGGTTGTGGGTTCTGACCTGGTAGAATCTTTCCATATTACTTGATTGATTTAACAGACATTGGGTACCTACAGTGTTTCATTATTCAAAGTACTAGGGCTATAAGGACCAAGACAGATAAATTCCAACCCTCATGCAATTTACATTTTGATGGGAGGGGATGGATAATAAGGTAAATATTAAATGTGAGAAATGGTGGTATGTGCTATGGAGAAAAATTTGCTGAGGTAGAAAAAGAGTGCCCAGCTTAGGGGTTGTTTTATATAGGGCAAATCAGGCCTCTCTGCTAAGGAGACATTAATCAGACCTGCAGGAAGGGTGAAAGCCCTGTGACAATCTGGAAGAAGAGTGTTCAGGGAAGTGGGAGCAGCTGATTCAAAGGCCCCAAAGTGTGAGTGTGCTTGAGGATTTCAGGGTATAAGGCCAGTGTGGCAGGAGAAGAGGCAGTGAGCAGGGAAGTAGTACATTGGAGCAGGAGTCAAGGGCTTGGACATCAATGTGGAATTAGAAAATAATTATTTCATCAAAGCGATGCAAATGAAAAGATAACCATTGCCAAAGAGTTTTTAAATGATTGCTGGTACTCGTGAGGATATGGTAAGATGGGGACTCTAACATTATCGACTACTAGTAGAAGTATCTTTTTGGAAAGCAATTGGCAATATACTGTCTATCAAGCCTTCAAAATGTACTTGTACTTTGACTTTGTCATTCCATAGCCAGGCATGCATTTTAAAGATGTTCAGCATAGCATTTTATTAGCAAAATACTATGAAAAACCTTAATTTTCTCATCAACAATGAGGAAATGTATAAATTATGATATCTATATAATGTAGTATCTGGATAATTATTAAAAATGATGCTTCCAGGGGCGCCTGGGTGGCTCAGTGGGTTAAGCCGCTGCCAGGGTCCTGGGATCAAGTCCCGCGTCGGGCTCGCTGCTCAGCAGGGAGCCTGCTTCCCTTCCTCTCTCTCTGCCTGCCTCTCTGCCTACTTGTGATCTCTCTCTGTCAAATAAATAAATAAAATCTTAAAAAAAAATGATGCTTCCACAGAATATTTAATTACATGGGAAGATTCATAATAAAAGTTGAAAAGATAAGTAAATTAGGTTGTAACTACAGCATGACTTCCAGTTTTTGAGATATGGAAAGGTACAGAAAGAATCTTGGAAGGATATACATGGCAATGGAAGTAATCTGTCTCTGGTTCATAGGATTATGGGTACCGTTCCTTTTTCTCCTATGTATGTACTCTCCTGTATTTTCACTGAATCTACATTTCACTAATCTACAATTAGAATTGCCTGAAAGTCTTTAAAAAAAAAAAAAAAAAAAGGCAGGCTCCACTCACCAGAGGTTGTGAATCAAATAGGTGGGGTAGAAGTGTAGGGACTTTCTGAAGAACTGCCTGGATCTTCTTGATATTCTGGTTTAGATTCATAGCACACATGAAGGAAAAGCATATTTTAAATTTATTTTGAATTGTTTCTCTGATTGTATTTAAATGCTTACCTACATGGTAAAGTGCTGTTATTTCCCAACTTAACACTTTGGGTTTTTACTTGTTTGTTTTAAGAACTGCTTTCTGAAGCCAGTTTCCAAGAAGCTCTTCAGGAAAGCATCCCTGACATCCAGGCGCAGGAGTGGGTGCCCCTGTGGCTACTGCGGTACTCCGTCATTGTTAAAAGCAGAGGAATTATCAAATCCAAAGGCTACATTTTACAAGCTAAAAGAAGGGGTTCTTAACTAAGACTTAGGATCGTAATCTACTGACTTGTATTTCCTTGAATATAAGATAAAATTGAGATGTATAAAAATCAGTTACTGCTTGTAAATGGTGTCATGGAGGCTGATATTCTTCAGTTATATTTGACAACGTGTTATCTGTCAAGTTTTGAATACTTTTCTTGCCTCCATATCAGTTTACTCATGTGTTTTCATTAAACTATTATTTTCTAATTGAAATTGCCTATAAAGAAAATACTTGCAATATATTTTTCCTTTATTTTTATGACTAATAGAAATCAAGAAAAATTGTTGTTAGATATATTTTGGGCTTAGGTATCAGGGTAATGTATATACATATTTTTTATTTCCAAAAATTAACTAATGGCTTCTTATTCTATAGTGTAACTAAGCAATTTAATTATAATTATAAAAACTGAAATACTGGAAGATATTTTTTCTGTTATTGATAAGATGATTATATCCCAGAGTAACTGGAGTGGCTTGGATCTACTAGTAGGATAGGTAAAATTCATTTCTTCAATACATGAATGAAAACTTAAACTTAACTGTCCTAGCTGTAGTTTACCTATAATGATTTAGTATTCTATTGCTGTGCCATATTTTCCTTGCTGTTATTTCCAAGACAAACCAAAGTAAATCTGAAAAAGACTAGAAGCTTTTAAATTATTATTTGGGGGTTTTATAAAAGCAACTGTTATCATCTCCAGATTCTTTTTAATACTTGATCCATCCTTAATATTTTGCTGTTCATTCAAGAATATTCAATAAGTATTGAGTGTTTATCATATGCTGGGCACTGTGGAATCTGGGGAGAAGGGGGGTCACAGAGAGTCAAAATCAGTTGAGTAAAATATGTAACATTTGCTCCCCACAGGCTCTGGGGAGAAGGGGGGGTCACAGAAAGTCAGAATCAGTTGAGTAAAATATGTAACATTTGCTTCTCACTAATAACTGACTCGGAGGGACCACAGCCAGAAAAGAGTGAAAAAAATCTTTAATTCAAGGGCAACATTGTCTATTTAGACAACTTTTTTTGAGACATGGTCTTAACTATATTTAAAAGCAAAATGATATAATCAACACTTTAGAACTAGGAGAGGTTATAGATTGTTTATTATAATTCTTCATTAGTTTAAGAACCAGAAAATAGCAAATAAATAAGGTGTGGCCTTTGATATAGACTATAGGTCTCCCTAGTTCTGTAAATTTGTATCTGTAACCCAAATAGTTAGAAAAGTTCTTCAAAAACCTCTTGTATGTCAATCAGTACTTTTAAACCATGTGTCTTAATACATGGTTTATTTTAAAAAAAAAACAAAAAAAAACAACCAAAAAAAACTACCATAGGGTGCCTGGTGGCTCAGTCAGTTTAGCATCTTCCTTCCGCTCAGGCCATGATCCCGGGGCCCTGAGAGTGAACCCTTCATCAGGCTCCCTACTCAGCAGCAAGTCTGCTTCGCCCCCTGCCCCTACCCCCTGCTTATGCTCTCTCTCACTCTCTCTCATGAATAAATAATAAAATCTTTAAAAAATAAACTAATATATAAAACTAATTTTGCCCAAGTTTTTTCAACTTAAAAGAAAAGTGTTCCATATTCAAAATAAATACACTAGGGGCACCTGGGTGGTGCAGTTCGTTAAGTGTTGGCTTAGTTGGTTTGGCTCAGGTCATGATCTCAGGGTCATGAGATCAAGCCCCACATAGGGCTCTGACTCTCAGTGCCAGAATCTGCTTGGGATTCTCCCTTTCCCTCTCCCTCTGCCCCAGTGCATGTGGGTGTGCTCTCTCTCTCTCTCTCAAATAAATAGATCTTTAAAAAAAAAAAAAAGGTAAATACACCAGACTTTTCCTATCCTAAATAAGGTTTTGTAGTTTACTGTTTGGATAATTTGATCATTAAAATTATAACATGAATTCAGCTGACTTACTTGCTATAAAATTCATTTAGACTTAGACCTTCCTAAAGCCTTATTTTATATTAATTGTATGTAATGTTATTGAATATATATAGTTAACTTTTTTATTTGGAAATGTGCAACATTTTTTCATACAACCTAAGTCTTTAAATGCTCATTTTAATTTAAGCCTAAACAGTGAATTGGTCAAGATATTTTAAGAGGGAACTTTATATCACATTTATTCCTTTTTAAAACCCTAGACTTATAAAAATGGATTGTTTAAAGGGTTATTTTGAAAATGAAAAAAAAAACAACCTATGTTACTAATTGATCCATATCTCTCTTCTCTTGACAAAGAAACAAGATTATAGATTCATTTTGTGAAGGGGATCATGTATGTATGGAATTTTAAAATTATTTTTTGTATGTTTCATTTCTGTACCTTTAATTTCTGTTATTGAATAACCATTTTTTAAAAAATGATTTTTCAAGACTTGACAAATTTCCAAGCTGGTGTTCACATCTTTTTTTTCTTTTTTTTTTTTTGTAAACTATCAGAATATAGTGAATGCTTTTCAAGTATTTGAGGACTTAATGTTTAAAAAGCCATAAAATAAAGAACAGTAATACTACCAAATAATCGCTTAAATCTGAAAGCTAAGTTATCAATAGTGTATATATAACAGATATGTCTTCTGGGGAGAGGTGTATCCAATGACTCAAGGTAGAAAGAATTTATATAATTGGGTTTTTTTCCAGTAAACATGAAAAGAAGCTACAGTCTATTACATTTCCAAAATACACTGGAGCCTTACATTAACACAATGTACTGTAACTTAGAATTTGTTCTGTAATGAGTCTATCTTATATTCTCATTCAAGAAACTGTAGTCACCAGAAGGACCAAGATGTCTTATAAAATATGTTCACATGGTGTAAATTTTGCAGACTACGTTGTGCCAGTATGCTAGAAGAGTATCCGTTTAGAGATAGCCAGTGCTAGATTGGATCACAAATAGCTAGTAATTTAAACAGCTATGTGTGGAATGGGAAATAAAGTTACTCTATTTTGAATGAATGGTCAAACTTCTCCCTACCAGAGCCAACTAGTAACTCAGTTTTCAGTAATAAAAGGTCTAAGATTCATTTAATTACATCTCATTTTTGAACAAAGCTTTCTTCCAACTTTTCTACCCAGCATTTTCGGTATTGGGGAAGTGAAATGATCAACAGTTCATCTCTCTGCCAATTGTACATTTAGAGAAATTTGAAGTTGTTTTAATGAGAATTTCAACAATTTGTTTTCGTAATCAAATATACCAACTTATGATTCTGAACATATTTTTTTAAAGGTAACTACCTAATATACCAGAACTTGTACCTGTCATTTCCCCATAAAGTTGTTGATGGGATATGTCATATTTTTGAAAACTGTGTAACATAACTTTTGTTAATATTTTTTATAGTTTTCAGAATTAGAAATACACTTAGGACAGGAAAATGTTTTCATTAGATAATTCTACTTTTATGTGTCCATAATGGTGTATTATAAATTACAGGCAAAATATAAAGCATTAATAGATATTTATAATAGTCTTTAATTTCACCTATATTTTGAGTATTATGAATTAATTAAAATAAAGTGTATTGTATATTGTTTGAATTGTTTGAATAGTTGAAAGCATCCTGGAGTATTATTGATTTTGACCTATTTGAACTCAAATTGAGTATGATTTGAAAATAAATTATGAATAATTTTTAAATATCCAAGCCATAAAGCTATTCATGCATTCATTCATTCAAAGATTTATCAAAAGCTTACTATATGCCAGCAACTGTAAGATATTGGCAGACAGACACAAATAATAAAGAACCCCTGTCTTCAAGGAGCATATGGTATATGTGGTGGGGGGAGAGAGATCTGTACATGAACAAGAGCAATAGAGGCCATCTGTTAATGATCAAAGTGGGGAAAAGGGATTGGGGGCATATAGAAGGAAGTGGGGCTAGGGAATGTCTACTGCTAGGAGGCTCCCCTTGAAAAAAATTAGCCTTAGAGTAGGATGAGACAATGAGTGGATATTCTGACAGAGACCTTTGTTTGCCTTGTTTGTAAATAGGCTTTTACTGAATATGAACAATTTATATGTAAACTTTAGAAATTCAGTGAAAACACTTTCTTAAAGAGCTTGCCCTATGAATAGAAAAGTACCGCTTCTGTTGAGACAAGAGTGAGTAAGGTTGGAAACGTAATATTTTACCTTAAACAAAAAAAAAAGAGAGGCTAAAACTTATCCAAATCCCCCAAATAGAATATGGCTGTTATAGTCTCACTACCAGAAAAGCCAAACAAAACTTTAATATGTATCTCTCAACAGTGAATAAATGTATAAAATGTCATACAAGATTTTTATGTGTCTGTTGGTCCATTATTTTGAAAGGTTCATGTTTTACAATATGCGTTACTTTGACTCAGTTCTGTTTTTCTTGTTTCTTTCCTCACTGTTGATTGTTGCATCCTACTCCATTTAAGTTTGCTGTTTTCTTAAGTGTGTCATTAGTAATTCTTTCACTGAAGGTCTTTGGCACAGTAAGCTTTCTAGGTCCTGTTTGCCTGAAAATGTCTTCATTTTGTTCTCGATCTTAAATGATCATTTGACATTGTCAAATTCTAAGTTTCCAAATACTTTGCCTGAGCAATTTGAAGGTAATATTCTATTGATTTCCAGCATATATACTCTTCCTGATGAAACTCTCAATTTCCTTCCCTAGATGGAAATGTCTTTTTTCTTTTTAGTTGAAAATTTCATCTTTGATGTGTATGAGATTAGAACAAAGCAGGAAAATTAAAACTGGCTGCAAAGCTTTTTTTTTTTTTTTTAAGATTTTATTTATTTATTTGACACACAGAGACAGCGAGAGAAGGAACACAAGCAGGGGGAGTGGGAGGGGGAGAGGCAGGCTTTCCACCAAGCAGCAAACTGGATGCGGGCCTCAGTCCCAGGACTCCGGGCTCATGACCTGAGCCGAAGGCAGATGCTTAATGACTGAACCACCCAGGCGCCCCATGCAAAGCTTTTTGATAAAAAACCATAAAAAGAAAACACTGATAACTGGATTTAATAAAAATTTAAATCTTCTGGCCCTCAAAAGACTTAAGAAAGTGAAAATATGGGGCGCCTGGGTGGCTCAGTCAGTTGAGTGGCTGCCTTTGGCTCGGGTCATGATCCCGGGGTCCTGGGATCAAGCCCTGTATGGGCTCCCTGCTCGATGGGGAGCCTGTGCCTCCCTCTACCTCTGCCTGCCACTCTGCCTACCTGTGTTTTCTCTCTACCCATCTGTCAAATAAATAAAATCTTAAAAAAAAGTCCTTCCTTTAAAAAAAATAAAGTGGAAAATATAAGCCACAGATTGGTTAAAAAAATACATATTTCTGGTGAAAAATAAGGCATAATCAATTTTTTTAAATTGCACTTCAAAGGACACTGTCAAGAAAGTGAAGAGATACCCCTGCAGAATAAGAGAAAATATTTGTGAATTGTGTCTATAATAGTCTTGTATTCAGATTGCATAAAGAACTCTTATAACTTAATAGGACAACCCAATAAAAAAATAGGCAAAAGATTAGAACAGATTTTTCTCCCACGAAAACATAGGAATAGCCAATGAAACATTAAAAGTGTTTAACACCATTATCAGGGAAATGCAATTTAAAACCACAAGGAAACCACTAGAATACAAAATAGCGACAATTTTAAGACTGACAGCGAGTGTTGACAAGGATGTGGAGCAAGCAGGACTCTCATTGCTGGTGGGGATGTCAAATGGTGTGACTCCTATGGAAAATACCTTAGCATTTCTTACAAAATTCAATGTTCACTTACCATATGACCAAGCAATTATTCTCCTAGGTATTTACTCAAGAGAAAAATACTTGTCCAAAAAGGACATATATAAATGTATACAGCACTTTATTCATAATAGCTGAGCACTGGAATCCATCCAAATGCTATTAACAGTGGAATGGATAAATGAACTGTATTATAATCATACAGTGGATAATAAGCAATAAAAATTATATACAGTAACAGATGACTCTCAGACACATGCTGAGTGAAAGAAGCTAGACATGAAAGAACAGACAAAATTATTTGATAATGACATTTACTGCTGTTTCTTGGTACCTTATGGTGTCACAAAGGGTTGCAGTCAGAGTGTCTGCTGGGACTACAGTCTCACCTATAAGCTTGACTGAGGTGGGTTTACTTCCAAGCTCGCTCATATAGTTGTTGGCTGGACTGAATTCCTTGTTGGCTATAGGCCAAGAGGCCTCCCTCATTTCCTTGACACATGGCCCTCCATAGGATGGCTAATAACATGTGACTAGCTTCCCACAGAATGAGGAGGTGAGAGGGTGCAAGATGAAAACCAGCTTTTTTGGCAACCTAATCATGAAAGAGATACCCCTCGCTTTTGACATTCTTTATCACCTGGTCAAGCCCCCACTCTAGGGTTTGAAACTGGGAGATGGGATCACTGGGAACCATCTTACATGCCAAACTTTAATGTTTTACATGTAAGAATGCAGAATAACTAAAAGTTTTATTTTTAGAAGGTTCGTGAACTACAACTCTCATCCTTTGGTTAATGCCTGAAATTTCAGGGAGAGTCAACCCTTCAGTTTAAGGGTTTAATTAGTAAAATACTGACTATCAAGGGAGAGTTTCCCTTTGGGCCTGAGTGATAACTCCTGTATTTTCATACTGTATTTACCTAAAATTGGGTATTTGTCCTAAATCCACAATGGGTAAGGAGGGTGGCAAAAAGACAGAAACGGAAACAGGGCAGACCTGGTAAGCCCACATAAAGCAAAAACAGAACACATCGCAGTTTTGCCTATTATCAGCCAACCTGTTGATACTAGACCAGTTCAGTCTTCTCTATGAATATGTACTGACATTTTAATTTTTGTATTTTGTTTCTTAATCTTGTTAGATTGTAATGTTTGGGAGTTTTTGTTTAAAGTGGCCATGCTTGGGGGCACCTGGGTGGCTCAGTGGGTTAAGCCTCTGCCTTCGGCTCGGGTCATGATCTCAGGGTCCTGGGATCGAGCCCCACATCGGGCTCTCTGCTCAGCATGGAGCCTGCTTCCCCCTCTCTCTCTTCCTGCCTCTCTGCCTACCTGTGATCTCTCTCTGTCAAATAAATTTTGAAAAAAAATAAAGTGGCCATGCTTGGAAGTGAATATTACACATTGATATTCTAAAATTCTCCAATTTTCTATACCCACTCCTGTGATCTTAATTTCATTTCCATGCATTTGCTGATATTGAAGTTGCTGTATAGTTAATGAGTTAATGCATATAATTCCAATAGTTTCACTTTCCTTCCTCTACAGCAGTTCTACCTTCTCGTGAAATCTAGCCTGTTTTATGTTCTTCCTCTTACATAGTCTCATTGCTACGTGGCCATACTAAAATCCTCCTTTGAGGTGTCTGGGTGGCTCAGTCAGTTAAGTATCTGCCTTTGGGGGGCGCCTGGGTGGCTCAGTGGGTTAGGGCCTCTGCCTTCGGCTCGGGTCATGATCTCGGGGTCCTGGGATCAAGCCCCGCATCGGGCTCTCTGCTCCGCAGGGAGCCTGCTTCCTCCCCTCTCTTTCTCTGCCTGCCTCTATGCCTACTTGTGATATCTCTCTCTCTCTGTCAAATAAATAAAATCTTTAAAAAAAAAAAATCTGCCTTTGGCTCAGATCATGATCTCAGAGTCCTGGGATTGAGTCCCATGTTAAGCAGGGAGCCTTTCTCCCTCCCCTCTGCCTCTCCTTGCTACTCATGCTCTCTCTCTCTCAAATATATAATCTTTAAAAAAAAATTCCTTCTTTTTGTTCCTTACCACGTTCCCCGCAAGGGTCAATCTAAACCTTTTCCATCCCTCTAAGCAGATGAAACTTCTATCTACAGAGAAGATTGAGGTTATCCATCCAAAAGCCCTTCTTTTCTTCCCCCCACTTTACTTTCCTTGCATTCACATTCTCTACTTCATATATTAACTCTTCCCTCCTGCCTCAAAGGAGCATTCTTCTGTGGCTAACTCCATCTCTACTTTTTTATTCCATTCTTCAGTTAGATTTGGCTCAGCTGCAGTAACAGAAAATCCCCCAAATAACGGGGACTTTAAAAACATGGGTGTGTTTTTTAATCACTAAATTCTACACCTGAAACTAATATTATACTGTATGTTAACTAACTGGAATTTAAATAAAAACTTGGAGTGGGGGGAAACAGGTGTTTAAGGTGAAACAGATCCAGAAGTGGGCTGTTGAGGATAGGGCAGCTCCATCAGTTGTTAGGGACTCGTGTTTTCTTTCTCACTGCTCTGCCATCCTTAAAGTGTGGCCCTTCTCTTCATTGCACAAACTTGCTGCTTGTAACATGAGAATACAGCATTCCAGGGGAAAAAATGAAGTTAAAGAAAGTAGGGAGGGGCGCCTGGGTGGCTCCGTGGGTTAAGCCTCTGCCTTTGGCTCAGGTCAGATCTCGGGGTACTGGGATGGACTCCTGCATCCAGCTCTCTGCTCGGCAGGGAGCCTGCTTCCTCCTCTCTCTCTGCCTGCCTCTCTGCCTACTTCTGATCTCTGTCAAATAAATAAATCTTGAAAGAAAGAAAGAAAGGAAGGAAGGAAGGAAGGAAAGAAAGAAAGAAAAAGAAAGAAAGAAAGAAAGAAAGAAAGAAAGAAAAAGAAAGAAAGAAAGAAAGAAAGGAGCTCCTCTTTTCCTAAGTCCCTAAAGAGCTACACAACAATTTATACTAACTGGCCGAAATTTAGCCAGCTCCATTTGGCTGCAAGGGAAACTATGAAAGGACCTATTTAGTTGGATGGCCATGTGCCCAATGAAAAATCTGTTTCGTGATGATAAGAAAAAAAAAATTGTTTTTCTGTTATATAGATTTGGTGAAGAACTCATCCTTTCTCACCAACAATATCCCTTTCCATTCCCCTAAAATATATTCTAATTCGCCATACTTCATCCTAAAAGAATACCAAACATCTTCTCTTGATTCTGGTCATTCTCTTCACCTCAAAAAGAACAACAACAACAAAAATTTATCGCTCTCCTTTAAAATTTAACATTTCTTTTCCGCTTATTTCTGATCAGTAACCCTCTCACCTTTAAATTAGATAGCTTCCTAGTCTCTGAGTTTCTGTAACGTTTAACAAATACATCTTTACCCAAACTGAGTCTTTCGAGTTTATTAACAAAAAAATAATATTTAATTTCACGAATAAGACAAGAGTACGTCGTTACCCAAAAAAAAAAAAAAGTTATAAATAATGCAAACGCCTCCTTCAGTCACACCCATGACTACATTAAGACCAAATATATAAGAGGATGGTTAAAGTTGGAAAGAAGATGCTTTTTTTCCAATTGGTTTGTGTGAAACTGGGACGAGGGCCCTCCATCACTCCGCCGCCCTCACGACTCTCCCTGCCAGAGCCAATGCATCTGACTTTCCACCGCACTGGAGTGAAGGCTAGAAACCGTGGCTTTGGGAACGAGATTCTCGTTAGTTCCGGGATCCTCGCTGGAAATGCGAGCGAGACGCTTCTTTGACGCATTTCCGGGGCGCCGGAACAGAGGCAGCCCGGGGTGGCCGCGAGCCGGGAGGATGGTGGTGACCAGGTCCGGGAGGTCTCAGGCCACGATCCAAGCCACGTTGGCTAAAAACTCCCAGCAGAAGGTAGGAGATCTCAGGGCGGTCTCATTTCTGCCGCTGCTTCTTCACAGAGCGGCGCTTATTTAGGGTGGTAGGGCGGCGGGAAGGGCCGGAACTTGTCGCGCGCGCTGCCGTGTCAGACCTGTGCTAACCCCGTAGCTTCCTTTCGGTCCTCGCTACGGTTGTTTAAGACAGTCCTTAGCCTGAGGGCGCCTGGGGGACTCAGTGGATTAAAGCCTCTGCCTTCGGCTCGGGTCATGATCCCGGGGTCCTGATATCGAGATCCTCATCGGGCTCTCTGCTCGGCAGGGAGCCTGCTTTCCCTCTCCCCTTCCCCCCCCCCACCCCCCCCCCCCGCCTCTCTGCCTACTTGTGCTCTCTGTCTGCCAAATAAATAAAATCTTTAAAAAAAAAAAAAAAGAGAGAGAGACAGTCCTTAACTTGGAACAGAGAGGTCAGGTAACTTGCTCTGGGTAGTTCTCCTTTGTAATGGCAGGTGCACAGCTGAGGCCTTCTAACCTGTTAAAACCGTACGAAGGAGGTTTAATTTCGGCTACCAAGTGTGAGTCTAATTATAATTAGCAGGATTGGAGAGAAGGTTACTGTTGTCACGTGGGGAGCTGGTAGTGGCCCCACAGCATTTTATTCTGGAGTGAGGAAGGATGCAGTGACGCCTCCTGGTGGCTATCAATGGCTATAGCCGTCCGTTGGCTCTGATTCTGCGACAGGGAATAAAACGTTAATTCATTTATGTATGTAAAGGTAAGGGCAGCGACTGATTCCGTTGGTGTGTGTGTTCCTAAGCACATCTGTGCTCAGAGTTAATACTTCGTTTCTTATCTCTTCCCCTGACTGCGTATCAGAATGCAGGTCCACCTAGCGTATTTGGTATGTGATACTTCTGTGCAGAAAATTTTCAATTAGTTGTTTTGCTCCCTAAAATTATATCTATGTCTTGGGCGTGGCTAGTGAGGCAGGGTCCTGCAAATGCACAGTCAGATCCAGTATCTTTTTTGTTTTTATTGTTAAAAATCATGAGTACTGGGTGGTTGTGAGGCAGGGACTTGCAAATGTAGTGTTAGATCCATATTTAGTGTTTAAGTTTTGTTTTTTTCCTTTTAAATGGGTGCTGGTGAGTTTTTTAGTACCCTTTTAAAATGTGTTCATTTTACACAGTATATTTATTCTGGCTCAGTCCTACCTAAATCACAGTGTATTTATTCTGGCTTACAGAATTCTGCTAAAAGAATTCATGCACATCCAAAAAGCAGAAAGGAATGTCTACCTGTTGACCCAACTACTACTGAATCACAAACCACTAGGAAACAAAGTCCAGTCTCTAGAACTCCTAAAACCAGAGAGAGAAAGAGTGGAACTACAGTCTCATTATCTGAAATGAACAAACCATCTGTTGATGGAGAGACCTCTGAAGCAGAGTCCAGTTGTTCTTCTGTGTATGAGTGCCAGGATCCCATTTTAAGAGTAACTAGGAGGCGACAGATCTTAGTTGCATGTACCCCAGTGTCCAGTGTTCGAAAAAGGCTTAAAATAACTCCAGTAAATCAGTCTCATATTGAAGAAGACGATGGTGACTCTGAAGCTGAATCACATGCTTCAGGTATTTCTAGAATTGTGCCGCCTGCAATAACTACAAATACCAGACGAAGTAAGGCTAAATCTGTAAGAGACCAAAGCCAAGAATTATATGAAGAAACTATTTCTGATGCTGAGGCATCATACTCAGACATTTCTTCATTTTCTGGAGTTGCAACTCTGAGAACGAGAAGTATGCAGAAGAAATTACACACACAAACTGAGGAGAAAGGTACTGATACTGTACCAGAAAATGAAAAGCAAATCATAAATACGACTATGAATTCAGAGGATTCAGATACCAGACAAACACCTTGTTTACCAGCAAGATCTCTTTCTCAGATAAATAAGCCAAATTTCTGTAAAAATGAAATGTGTGAAGACTTCGATGATGATTCCTTCTGCAGAAATTCAGAAAAAAAACGAACAGTGCAAAAACGCCAATGTTTTAATATAAGAGAGAAGGAAAAGGCCAATGTTGCACCTCTCAAAGAAATCACAAAGCAGAATTGTAAGAATTTAGATGAAGAAGCCAAGGGAATAGTAGATGAGGAAAAAGAAGTAAGTAAGAAAAATTCTCAGTTGGAGAGCCTTTCTGAACCTCAGGACACTGGCATTCAGCTGTTAGTTTCTCAAAGGCATTCAACTCCCCGAAATAATAAGACCACGTCAGAGCCCTCAAGTCTGAACTGTGAGGCTATAATAAAATCATTAGCTCAAACATTTGCAGTGGTAGAAGTGGACAGATGGAATGAAGAGAGAAAGAATACCATAAAAACAAGTGACTTAACAGAATTTGGTGATGGTGATAGAGATGAAGAAGAGTGCACCGTTACAGGTATCAGCGAAGATAGGAATGAAGGAAGGGACGTAGATTCTGAGTGTGAAAACAGACTATTCAAGTCTGAGCTCCACACATCGCTGGACAAAGATGATTCTGTTTTATTAGTTCTCAGCAGTGACGAAAGCCAGCAGTCTGAAAATAGTGAGAATGAAGAGGACACTGTGTGTTTTGTCGAAAATAATGGTCAAAAGGAGTCTTTAAATGGAGAATCAGAAAATATGTCATGTGACCATGCATTATTTGTAATTGACAAAACTCCTGGATTGAGTACTGATAAACATTTTTACTTGGATGAGGGAGACAAGGCAAGTGAAGTTGCCACTGAGGAAAAAAAAGAGGAGGAAGAGGATGAAAAAAGTGAAGAACCATCAGACCATGACACAAACAAAGATAGTGAGTTTAGTGATGAAGACGACTTACTAAATAGCACAAAGTCTAAACTGTAAGTTTTTCCTTTCTTTTTAAAAGTAAGTTTTTGACACATATTTCAAGTGGCTGATTACCATAAAAATATAAAATATTAGAGAACATGGAAATTGGGGCGCCTGGGTGGCTCCGTGGGTTAAGCCTCTGCCTTCAGCTCAGGTCATGATTTCAGGGTCCTGGGATCAAGCCTCGTAAAGGGCTCTCTGCTCAGCAGGGAGCCTGCTTTCTCCTCTCTCTCTCTCCCTGCCCCTCTGCCTACTTGTGATCTCTCTCTGTCAAATAAATAAAATCTTTTAAAAAAGAAAGAAAACTTGGAAATTGAGAAAACTACTGCCTCACGTTCTTTATGGAAGAACTCTTTTATCCAGCATATCCCTAGTCTGTGGGTGCCTTTGTTAGTCATATTTCTCCCACCAGTGATCTATTCAAAATCATCTGTTAAAATTTTCCTGCATGATTGTTAAAGGCAACATAAAAAGGAAGGAAAGGAATTTTTATCTTTTCTCTATGCTAATTGTAGAGTTGAAAAATAGGGAAAAGGTGGAGAAAAATAATCCTATAATCCTGTCTAGCACCCATTAAAAAATACTGACTTTGGGACTATTTCTTTAGTTTCTTTTTTTCTGTTTTCAATTTGTTTTTCTTAGGCACAGGGCTCTGGTGGCCCTGTATCTAGTGGAAATACATCCTTGGCAAGAGTCTATACATTAACAGATGAGCAGTTTTCACTCTAAGCCAATGAAATAAATCTCTGAGGCCAGCCTCAAGCATACTTATTTTTTTTTTTTAAGATTTTGTTTATTCATTTGACAGACAGAGATCACAAGTAGGCAGAGAGGCAGGCAGAGAGAGAGAGAGGAGGAAGCAGGCTCCCTGCAGAGCAGAGAGCCCGATGTGGGGCTCGATCCCAGGACACTGGGATCATGACCTGAGCCGAAGGCAGAGGCTTTAACCCACTGAGCCACCCAGGTGCCCCAAGCATACTTATTTTTTAAAAGGCACACTGTTCCCCGGGATAATTCTAATGTATTTTTAGGGTTGAGAATCACTGCTAAACCACTGCAGTAGAATGATTTCACTTTCCAGTAGAGACTGATCAAAGCCTTCAACTGCTCAGTTTAAATAATTAGGGAAGAAAGTAACTATATTTGCTTATAAAAAGGACCTTCCAGTAATATAAAAGTAGAAATTCTTACTATATAAATATAACAGGAGCCCAGACCCAACTGGTTTGGTAGATGTGGGGTATGACTTCTGTATTTTTTAAAATCTCCAGTGAGAAATAGAGATGTTCACTGCTGTTTAAAACTCACTGATTTAGAAGCACTACCAAATACCCTTATTCATCCAGAAAACCATTCTAAGCTTGGATAACCGGGAAGTTCAGAACCTGTCTTTCTCATTGGTTTTAGAGATAGAGGTTATGTATGTTTGTTGACTCACCACCTGTATATGAAGTTGAGCTGAATTGCCAGATGTATCTCCTCTTCTCTGCAGTTCTTTTCTTTAGGAAGTCTACTGACATATAGTCTTAATCCTCTTTAAGTTAATCTGAGGAATAAATTTTGATATGTTCCCAAAAAACTTACTCATTATTTATCCTGGAATTTTCTTCTAAATGATTTTATTAGATTTAAAACGTGTTTCAGGTTTTCAGAAACTCCATTGTAAAAATAAGATTTCCTTTTTTTTTTTTTGTCATTGGCAGTAAAAGGGTAGAAGAAAAAAGTGATTTTTAAAAAGAACAGTCTCACTTGCTTCCATTTTGATGTGATTACTTGATCTTTAAGTGATCATTCTCTTTCAGTCTGAAGTTGACAAGCAGCAGCATAGACCCTGGTATGAGTATCAAGCAGTTGGGTGGTTTGTATATTAATTTCAATGCGGACAAACTACAGTCGAAGAAGAGAACCCTAACACAGATCAAGGAGAAAAAGAAAAATGAGGTAAGTTACATACAGTGTCCTGTTGGGTTTTCATAGAACTAACCGATCACTTCTAGACGTAATTAGTTCTTGGTAAGAGACTAATTTTCCTGCAGTGAAACCATGTTAGCCTGCTGTGCTCTTCTTTTCCCCTCAAAGTCCTAGCTATAAAAGATAACACTTGAAAAATAATCAGTACAGGGTCAGCATTCCTCTTGCACCTACCAGTTATCTTAGGGGATGTGTTTTCTTCTCTTTTCTTGCTGCATTTTTAGTTCATAACAGTTCTGGATGCTGTTGAGAATCTGAAAACTGTGGATGCTACTTCCCCCCCAACCAGGAAAAATATACATGTGCACATATGCATAAAATTGTACATATAATTTCAGAAGGGAATTACAGGGTAGGTAACCTCATCCAAACCCTCGGCTTAAGTCACATGGCATGACTTCCCCAAATCTGCATTCTCTAGCCTTCCTGTCCCTCCAGGTCTTCAAATCCTCTTGTGCCTGTTGACTGTTTATTGAGATGTGCTCAGCCACTTGACCTCCCTAATTGCCATCGTTCACTTCCCTGCCTGAACCAGCTACTTCTTTAGTATTCTCAGAGCTGGTTAACGATGCCAAACTCTTTTCCTTTTGCAGTCCATCACTGACCTACCTTTCCGGTAGAGGCTGATCAAAGCTGAATCAAGCAGATGCTGCTGCTTACATACTCTACTTAGTTCCCTCCTTTTCACCCCACTGTCACTGGCTAGTGCGGGGCTTTATTTCTCATCTAGAATTCTGCGGTAACCTCCTTACTCTTTTCTCCAAGCCATCCTCTATACTTTTGATAGATTTCTATTTTTAAAAACAAAAAAGGTACCTGGCTGGCTCAGTCCGAAGAGCATGCGACTCTTGGATCTCTAGGTTGTGAGTTAGAGCCCCAGGTTGGGGGTAGATGCTACTTCAAAATGAAACGAAACACAAACCTGACTATGATATTCTCCTGTTTAAGTCCGTCAGAACATTCAAGGTGCTTCTGTTCCTTCAGCTCTGTCCTCTCCACCACCTTCTCTGCACACTTGTGATTATTTCTCTCAAATTCCAAAATATATCACTTCAGGTTTGACAGGTACTGCTAAATTGCCTTTCATTCAAGTAATGTTAAGTCCTACCACAGTTAATCCGTGCTCTTTTTCTTTACATTGCGACCAGCACTGGGTATTATATTTTTGTTTGTTGTTATTGGTGCCTCGTGGCTGTTTTCATTTGTTGTTGATCATCTTTTTGTGTATTTATTAGCTACATGTAAGTATTCTGTGGAAGATGCCTATACTTTTGGGGGTTCTTTTTTATTTTTAACTGATGGATTTTTGGAATTTTACAGAACATAATCACAAGTGTGCAGAGATTATGTTTACAGTGTTCAACAGATAAAGGTTTGGAGACTTAAAACTAAATGTTAGAAGAAGAATGTTAGTGCATAACAGCTATTAAAAAGAATGAAGTTGATCTGTGTATGAATTGATATTGAAAGAAAATCTAAGACTATTGAATTGCAAAAAGCAGATTTATCCGGATAGATGTATAAGTTTAATCAAATCTGTTTCATTGTACATATTAGTAATAGAGTCTTCTCAGATCAGAAGCTGTTTTACCAACATCAAAAGAACTTATTAAAGACTAGTTAGAGTTGTTTGTTTTCAGAGATTTCAAGAGCCATTACGGTATTTGTTCCTGTTGACTTTATTTTCCAGTTGTTTGGCTGGTTGTAAGCCAATAAATACAGGTTAGACACATTAATGTATATCTGATACATGCTGATTCGGTTTAGAAAAAGAAATGTAAGATGAATGAAGTTTCCTAAAATAATCCCTCAGTTTGCCTTCTAAAGCATTTTTATTATAATATAATTTACAAACTTAAGGACCAAAACAACTTCGCAGTGGTATGGTTGTGCATAAAGAGGGTTAATATATTTGGAGTAGTCTTCAGTGTGGGAGATATTTCTCTTATAAGACAAAAAATGTTGGAAAAAATTATAATATTTTGATATTATTTTAAAAACCACTTTAATATTTTTACAGCTTTTGCAGAAAGCCATTATTACTCCTGATTTTGAAAAAAACTACTGTGTCCCACCATACAGTGAATCAAAGCATCAACTTCAGAAAAAACGCAGAGTAAGTATAGTGACACTCATTATTTAGATTATTGAGGTGCATTTGACTGTATACATTCAGCTTATACAACATAGTTGTGTAATTTAAAAATATGTATTTTCAGGGCACCTGATTAGCTCATTTGGTAAAGCATGTGACTCTTGATCTTAGGGTTTTGAGTTCTAGCCCCACGTTGGGTATAGAGATTACTTTAAAAAATAAAAATTTTTAAAAATAGTAAAAATAAATTCTTAAAAAAATACATATTTGTGGGCGCCTGGGTGGCTCAGTGGGTTAAAGCCTCTGCCTTCAGCTCAGGTCATGATCTCAGGGTCCTGGGATCGAGGCCTGCATCGGGCTCTCTGCTCAGCAGAGAGCCTGCTTCCCCCTCTCTCTCTGCCTGCCTCTCTGCTTGCTTGTGATCTCTCTCTCTCTGTCAAATAAATAAATAAAATCTTAAAAAAAAAAAATTTGTAAAGAAAGATACCACAAATTTAAGGGTCCAGAAAATGAAGTTCCATAAACACTTTTTTTTTTAAAGATTTTATTTATTTATTTGAGAGACAAAGTGAGCAAGAGAGGGAACACAACGGGGGGACCGGGAGAGGGAGAAGCAGGCTTCCTGCAGAGCAGGAAACCTGATGTGGGGCTTGGTCCCAGGACCCTGGGATCATGACCTGAGCCGAAGGCAGGTGCTTAACCAAGTGAGCGACCCAGGTGCCCCCATAACATGGTTTATATAGATTTTCATAAAGTGCACCAAGTGGTGCACATAGAGGACAGCTCCCCCCTCCCTTTCTTAAAAACAAGTGACAGCAAGCATATAAGGTCCTTGTCCACACTTGGCTTATAGTACTCTTCACCAAGAGCTAAGAGCTCTGTTTCAGGCCTTTGTAGGGAGCTTAACATAGCCACCTAAAAACCTGGGTGTCTGTAGTCTGCCCAGTGAGAGGGTAGGAAACTTTTTTTATTTTTAAAGTTGGGAGTTGGTTCCGTCTGCCATTTCAAATAATAATTGTAAAGAAGTTATCAAGAGAGTTTGAGGGAAATTTGAAGGTGGTGCCCCAGTAATGTATCATCACTAATATGGAGCATGCTGGCACATGATTGACACTCCATAATGTTGTATGAATGATTTAAAAGTAAGTAACTAACTTGCTAGGAGTTTCCCAAAAAATAGAACTTTTTTTTAAATTTTAGAAATAATACAGATTTCTGGACTTGTTGGAGTGACTTTGAGTCACCTTGGTGACTGAATAAAATTATTAATATTTACATATAAGCTCCAGAAGTGAAAAATTTTTTATACATTATCTCTTGTGTAGGCTATATTGCCCAATAAAAATTGAAGCTGTATATTGTTCTCCCAGGAAGTCAGCAGTTTTTTGTTTGTTTTTTTTTTAAGATTTTATTTATTTTACTTGAGAGGGATAGAGCACAAGCTGGGGGAGCTTAACTGGCTGAGCCACCCAGGCGCCCCTGCAAGTCACTATGTAACTTGCCCCTGCAGGTTACTAAGATTAAAAAAAAAATTTTAAGGAGCTCTCATTTATGAAACTGATAATACTATGCCTAATTTACCAAAGAAAACACTGTGATATAATTTCTTTTATGAAAGTGAATCGGGGGGCACCTGGGTGGCTCAGTGGGTTAAAGCCTCTGCCTTCGGCTTAGGTCATGATCCCAGGGTCCTGGTATCGAGCCCCACATCGGGCTCTCTGCTCATCGGGGAGTCTGCTTCCCCTTCTTTCTCTCTGCCTGCCTCTCTGCCTACTTGTGATCTCTGTCTGTCAAATAAATATATAAAATCTTTTAAAAAATAAATAAATAAATAAAAAAGAAAAAGGTGAATCTGGAGACTAATACATTCTGTTAAGTAACCTCATTTGTTTTTAATTCTTGAAGTTTTTTGTATATATTAATTTTGAAGGGAATGAGGTATAGTTTATACATTGCTTATTAACGTTAGAATTCTGTTTAATTATTTTTGAAATCTGAATTTCAGAAAGAACGACAGAAAACAGCAGGTGATGGCTGGTTTGGTATGAAAGCTCCAGAATTGACAGATGAGTTAAAAAATGATCTCAAAGCACTGAAGATGAGAGCTAGCATGGACCCAAAAAGATTTTATAAGAAAAATGATAGGGATGGCTTCCCCAAGTACTTCCAGGTATGAATAAACAATGATGGCAGTGATGTTCTGTAGATTTTAGTTTGGAAAGCACTGTAGTGTTCTTTGTGTTTACTCTTAACATAGGTGAATATTTATAGTGCACATCTGCTTGGGCTGTATAATAATGAGCAAAACCCAATTCAGACAACCTTATGGCCACCAGCTTGTAATGGCGTTCCATAGAGAGGGGAGGTGTTGCAGATGGTAACTAAGTTTCCAGGTCATACCTCTAAAAGTTTTGGAACCTCTAAGTTGGGTATACCATATATGAATAGTATTAGCCTAACAGCAAGAATCCTTACATGATGGAAGAAGAAATAGGGAATCATTTGCACCATACTCTTCTCCAGATAGGAGGGCATCCCCAGGCAAATGCTGAAAATAAGTTAAAAGTTGGTTTCCAAAGTGTTTCCAGATGAAAAATTCAGTTGATTCCCCCTCTTGTGGCTGTCAGCTTCATTCTGTTCCTTCTTCTCACTTACTTAATTACTCTAATAGTCATTCACCTCCAGGTCTCCTCCCCTTCTAGTCCATCCTCCACATTGTAGCCAGTTACCTGTTGTTTTTTTTTTTTAAAGGCAGTCTGTTCATGATACACCTCTGCTCAGTGATATCACAGGTAACATTCAATAATACCTTCAGTGATTCTTTATGACCCATAGGGTAGAGTCTGAACGGTCTGCACTCAGACCAGCTCCCCAGCTCTTCTGTCACATTGCCCTCTTACGCTCCAACACACTTGGAGGGAACCTTGACCTCCCTTAGGTAGATTTGGTCACTTTCTTTTTTTTTAGGGCATCTATAGTGTTTTGCTCAGCATAATAATTATTTTACACTTTAATCTTTTAGTTACTTGTCTGTGGATTTTTCTTAAGACTATGGGCTTCTTGTTGGCAGGGACCAGATATTCTTTGTCTTTATTTCCCAAACACTTAGCACAGTACTTGGCACATGGTGGACCTGGCACATGGTGGACACCGAATGTTTGAACAAATGCAGAGTGGTTCCTAAGAAAGTTCTAAGAAAGAAAGTTCTCACCTAGGAGATCAAATAGGTGTGGAGTAGAGTTTATGTATCAATTTTATTAAATTGGGAAACTAAAAAAAGAATTGATATTCTCTGTCCTACTTTTCTAGTTACACTATTCATCAAGAATTTACTGTCCTGCCTAGCACTAAATTATATAAGAGGATTTTTGGCTTTACTATAAATTCTAATGAAATGTCATTGTAGGAGCCAGTGCCAGTTGAAGAGGTGACTTATTTTTGTTTTAAAAAATGGCAAAACTAACTTTATGTTGGTATCATTTAAGTTGGGTTTTTTGTTCTTTGCTATAAATATACTTTGTTAGAGCTACCCTGAAATATGAAAGCAACTTAGCGTTCAAGTATTGCATGACTCATTTCTATCAATCGCTCATAGATTGGAACCATTGTTGACAATCCAGCTGACTTCTACCATTCACGAATTCCCAAAAAACAAAGGAAGAGAACTATTGTGGAAGAATTGCTGGCTGATTCTGAGTTCAGAAGGTAAAGGAATTTATGTCTTACTTTGTATTATGTATGTTTTCCTTTAGAATATACATAAACTTTAAATCTTCAGGTAATTTTTAAATGATTTTAGCACAGTGTCTCAACAGCACTATTTACATTTTGGATGGGATAATTCTTTATTAGGGAGAACTGTCCTCTATCCATTAGGTGCCAGTAGCACCCCATTCCCAATTTGTGACAAAAATGACTGCCGAGGGGCGCCTGGGTGGCTCAGTCAGTTAAGCGCCTGCCTTTGGCTCAGGTCATGATCTCAGGGTCCTGGGATTGAGCCCCGCATCAGGCTCTCTGCTCAGCAGGAAGTCTGCTTCTCCCTCTCCCTCTGCCTGCTGCTCTGCCTGCTTGTGCTCTGTCTCTCTGTCAAATAAATAAATTAAATCTTTAAAAAAAAAAAATGACTGCTGACATTTCTAGATATCCGCTGAGGGGCATAAGCATTCTCAGTTTAGAACCACTGCTTTAGATGGAAGCTTGAAAACATTTGACTGATAATAGGAGAATGAGCCTGCAAAGGAGACTAGGAAAGAGTGGCTAAGAGGCTATTAAGAAAACCAGGATGGCTAGTATCACAGAAGTCAAGGAAGGAGAATGTTTTGAGCAGATACAAACAAACTAGAGGGGGTAATTAACAGGAATAAATGCTGCTGGGAGATCAAACTGGGTGATGGGCATTAAGGAGAGCCGGTGACGTAATGAGTACTGGGTATTACATACAACTGACGAATCACTAAGCTCTACCTCTGAAACTAGTTATACATACTGTGTTAATTAATTGAATTTAAATAAAATTAAATTTAAAAAAAGAAAACTAAAACTTCTTTGGATATACATGGAGGTCAAAACATTCTTGCTGGGAGTTTTAAGGGAGCGACGAGGAGGAAACCAGACTAGAGAGGATTGGAGAGTTAGTTGAAAATGAAGAAATGGAGACAATTCTTTGAAGTTTGAGAAGAGGGGCACCTGGGTGGCTCAGTGGGTTAAAGCCTCTGCCTTCGGCTCAGGTCATGATCCCAGGGTTCTGGGATCGAGCCCCGAGTTGGGCTCTCTGCTTGGCGGGGAGCCTGCTTCCCTTCCTCCCTTTCTGCCTGCCTCTCTGCCTACTTGTGATCTCTGTCTGTGAAATGAACAAATAAAATCTTTAAAAAAAAAGAAAAAGAAAAAGAAATGAAGTTTGAGAAGAGGGAGAGGGGCAAGGCTAGTAGTGGCTGTGGAGTTAGAGGATTTTTTTTTTTTTTTTAAGATGGGAGCATTTGGGAATATGTTTAAATGTCCTTGAAGCAGCTATGTATATATTACAGGAGATTTAAAAGCATCTTCATATAGAAACCCTTGTGGAACTTCAAGAGTAGTTTAATAGCAAAAGTGAAAAGATTATAAAGGTTTTAAAAACTTTGTCAGCATGGAAAACAAATTTAACACAAATGTTTTGTAAGCTATTTATAATTAGTATGGGTAATGGTAAAAATTTTAGAAATAAGCTATCTTCTTTCCTTACTTATTACTCTTTCCTTGGAAATCTCATCCCCTACAGGGCTTTAATTATAATCTTATACTCTTGGCTTCCAAATGCAGTATGTCTAATCCAGATCGCTCCTGAGTCTAGACCCAAATATCCTGAGTCTAGACCCACATATCCAGCTACTGCACCCTTCCAGTACAAGCTAGTCCTGTCCCAGTGCTCTGTATCTCATGACTAATAGTATCACTAATCACCCATTAACAAGACACCTCCTCCTCCAGTCCACATTCATTCTGTCAGTCTCCTGTTTTCCTGTCTCAAGCCTGTTTTTTTCTCCATCCCCACACAGGCATGGTGCAAGCTGAGTAAGTCTTTGTTTACTAAGTGTTAACCGTATGTTCTGGTTAAAAATTGACCTGTATTCCGTAATCTTGAGGATAGTAGTCTCAGAAATCACAGCAGTGCTGATAGTGCTTTCACTAAAAAATAATGATGTGAGGAAGTTGGGGGTGTAAACTAGAAATTTTGTAGAATGAAACTGGTAAAATTGTGAATTAGAGGTAGTGTTCTTAGTTCATTGTTCCCCTACTTCAGTCACTGAGTATCATTTTCACAATGTTTGCATTATGTGTGTGCTGCCTGCTTTATTTTAAAAAGAAACTTTATATTGCCTACTGTAAATGGGTTTGTTGGCTTACAATTTTTGTAATGTGCATGAAGATAAATACATTGCTTAAAGTGAATATTGTCTGTCACCTAAATTTATGTATCAGACTATGTGAAACACTGTACTAGCCCATCTCCTTGGAATGTTTTAATTCTTTCTGCAACATTCTCTTTAAGAGGTTTCTGGCCTCTGAACAAACACTTTGGGATAGGGAAATTCAGTAAACATACTAATGTGTCCTGTGTTCATTAGTAGGAATGCCTTGGAACAGAAGTAGTAAGTGTAATATACTGGAGAAAACGCGATTTTCTGTGTTGTATGTGGTTTTTGGTTTTGTTTGTTGAGGTATAGTTGACTTACAGTGTTTCATTAGTTCCAGGTATGCAATGTGATTTGACAATTCTCTGCATTATAAAATGCTCACTACTACAAGCATAATCACCATCTGTCACCATACAGTGTTGTTGTAATAGTATTGTATAAGGTGTTGTCTATGCTGTGTTTTTCACCTCCATGACTTATTTTATATCTGGAAGTTTGTACCTCTTTATTCCCTTCATCTCTTTCACCCAGCCCCCACCTCTGGCAACCACAGTTTATTCTCGGTCTCTCTCTGAGGAATCTCCATACTGTTTTGGCACAACCATCGTAGTTGTGCCAAATTATATTCCCACCAACAAAAGCATAAGGGTTCCTTTTTCTCCACATCCTCACTAACACTTGTTACTACTTTTGATACTAGGCATTCTGACTATTTAAGAGTCTGTTTTTTGTTTGTTCATCTGCTTTTTTAGATTCCATTTATAAGTGAAATCATATTGTCTTTCTCTGTGTGACTTACCTCACTTAATATCCTCTAGGTCCATCCATGTTGCCCTGAATAGCAAGATTTCATTCTTTTATATGGCTCAGTAATATTCCAGTGTGTGTGTCTGTCTGTCTGTATATGTCTGTCTCACATCATCTTTATTCATTCACCTATCGATGGGACACTTGGGTTGTTTCTAAATCTTGGCTATTGTAAATAATGCTGCAGTGCATGTATCTTTTTGAGTTAGTGTTTTTGTTTTATTTGGGTAAATACCAGGTAATGGAATTACTAAGTCATAGGGTATTCTTGTTATTGATTTTTTTGAGGAACCTCCATACTGTTTTCAACAGTGGGTACACCAGTTTACATTCCTACAAAGAGTACATGAAAGTTCCCAACTTTTCTCCAAATCCTTGCCAACATTTGTTACTACTTGTATTTTTGATACCAGCCATTCTGACTGGTATGATGTGATGTCGCACTGTAATTTTGATTTGCATTTGCCTTGTGATTAGTGATGTGGAACATCTTTTCATGTGTGTGTTGCCCTTTTCTGTATGTCTCTGGGGAAACACTCGGGCCCTCTGACTGTTTTTTAATCAGACTGTTTGGGATTTTTGTTTTTGTTTTTGTTTTTGTTTTGATGTGAGTTGTGTAAGTTACTTACATATTTTGGATAGTAACTCCTTATCAGATTATCATTTGCACATATATCTTCTCCCATTCAGTGGGTTGCCTTTTTGTTTTATTGGTTTCCTTTGCTCTGCAAAAACTCTTTTTTGCAAGTAGTGTAGTCCCACTTGTTTATTTTTACTTTTGTTTCCCTTGCCTGGAGAGACATACCTATCAATATTTTGCTAAGACTTACATTCCAAGAGATTGGTGCCTATGTTTTCTTTTAGGAGTTTTACTGTTTTAGGTCTCACATTTTGGTCTTTAATCCATTTTGATTTTTGCATATGGTGTAAGAAAGTGGTCCAGTTTCATTCCTTTGCATGTAGCTATCCTGTTTTCCCAACACCATTTATTAAAAAGACTATTTTTCTCCATTGTATATTCTTGCCTCCATTGTCATAGATTAATTGGCCATATAAGTGTGTGTTTCTTTCTGGGCTGTCTTCTGTTCCACTTACCTGTTTTTATACCAGTACCTTACTGTTTTGATTACTGTAACTTTGTAGTATATCTTGAAATCTGGGATTGTGATACTTCCAGCTTTGTTATTCTTTCTTAAGATTGCTTTGGCTATTTGAGGTCTTTTATGGTTTTGTATAAATTTTAGGATTATTTGTTCCAGCTCTACAAAAAAATGATATTGTGATATTTCGTTAGGAATTGCATGGAATCTCTATATTGCATTAGGTACTATGGACATTTTAAGAGTATTAATTCTTCCAATCCATGAGCTTGATATCTTTCCATTTGTATGTGTTGTCTTCAATTTTTTTCATCAGTGTCTTACAGCTATCAGAGTACAGGTCTTTCAGTCTCCTTGGTTAAATTTATTCCTAGGTATTTTATTTTTTTCTGGTACAGTTGTAAATGGATTGTTTTCTTAACTTCTCTGCTACTTTGTTATTAGTGTATAGAAATACAGCATTTCTGTATTAATTTTGTATCCTACAGCTTAACTGAATTCATTTATTCTGATATAGTTTTTGGCAGGGTCTTCCGGGTTTTCTCATTGTAGTGTCATGTCATCTGTAAATAGTGACAGTTTTACTTCTTCCTTCCCAATTTGGATGCCTTTTATTTTTCTTATTTAATTGCTGCATCTAGGACTTCTGGTACTGTATTGAGTAAAAGCAGTGAGAATGGACATTCTCGTTTTGTTCCTAATCTTAGAGGGAAAGCTATTGGTTTTTCACCATTACGACGTTAGTTGTTTATTTTTCGTATGTGGCCTTTACTGTGTTGAGGTATGTTTCTTCTAAACCCACTTTGTTGAGAATTTTTAAATCATGAGTGGATGTTGTACTTTGACTTTTCTTTAAAGGGGGTGGCACAGAGGGAGAGAAAGAAAGAATCCTAAGCAGGCTTCATGCCCAGCAGGGAGCCCAACGTAGAGCTTGATCTCGCTACCCTATGATCATAACCTGAGCCAAAGAGTCCAATGCTTAACCAACTGAGCCACCCAGGCACCCCAACAAATGTTTTTTGATTTGTGGTTGGTTTTTTTTTGAGATGATCATAGGGTTTTATTCTTTTTCTTGTCAATGTACATTGATTTACAAATATTTTACTGCTCTTGCATGTGTAGATTAAATCCCAGTTGATCATGGTAAATTATGTTTTCAATGTATTGTTGGTTTGCTGATATTTTTTTTTTAAAGATTTTATTTATTTATTTGACAAACAGATCACAAGTAGATAGAATGGCCGGCAGAGAGAGAGAGAGAGAAGGAAGCAGGCTCCCTGCTGAGCAGAGAGCTTGATGTGGGGCTCGATCCCAGGACCCTGGGTGGGATCATGACCTGAGCGGAAGGCAGAGGCTTTAACCCACTGAGCCACCTAGGTGCCTCATGTTTGCTGATATTTTATTGAGATTTTTGCACCTGTATTCATCAGGCATATTGACCTGTAGGGTTTTTTTTTTTTTTTTTTTTTGCAGTGTCTTTGGCATCAGTATTAGAGAAATGCTGGCCTCATAAATGAATTTGGAAGTTTTCCTTCGTTTTCTATTGTTTTGGAATAGTTTGAAAAGAATAGGTATTAACTCCTCTTTTAAATGTTTGGTGGAATTCAGCTATGAATCCATCTGGTCTTGAATTTTGTTGGGAGTCTTTTGATTACTGATTCAGTTTTGTTAATAGTAATGGATCTCAAGTTTTCTATTTCTTCCTGATTTAGTCTTAGAAGATTGTCCATTTCTAGCAACTCAGTTTTTTTCTAGGTTGTCCCAATTTGTTGGCATATACTTTTTCATAGTATTCTCTTGTAAATCTTTGTATTCCTGTGGCATCTTCTAATTCTTCATTTCTGATTTTGAGTTCTCTTTTTTCTTGATGAGTCTGGCTTTTTCTAAAATTTTTTTGAGTTTTTGTTGTTGATGTTTGTTTAAGATTTTATTTATTTATTTGTCAGAGAGAGAGAGAGCACAAACAGGCAGCGTGGCAGGCAGAGGCAGAAAGAGAAGCAGGCTCCCCGTTAAGCAAGGAGACTAATGTGGGACTCGATCCCAGGATCCTGGGATCATGACCTGAGCCGAAGACAGCAGCTTAACTGACTGAGCCACCCAGGCATCCCTGGCTTTTTTGTTTTTTAGTTTCTATTTTATTTCTGCCTTAATCTCACTTTTTCCATTCTTCTACCAACTTTGGGCTTTGTTCTTTTCTAGTTCCTTTAGGTGTAAGGCTAGATTGTTTGAAGTTTTTCTTGTTTATTGAGGTAGGCCTGTATCACTGTAAACTTCTCAGATCCATTTTTGCTACATCCCAGAATTGACCATTTTCATTTTCATTTGTCTTCATTTATTTTTATTTTTTTTATTTATTTTTTTTTTTGCTTTCCTTTTTGATTTCTTCACTGACCCTTCGGTTTTTTAGTAGTATGTTGTTTAGCTTCCATTTTTTTATGTTTTTTTTTCCTTATAATTTATTTTGTTTCATATCATTCTTTAGAAAAAATGCTTGGTATAATTTCAGTCTTCTTAAATTTATTGAGACTTGTTTTGTGGGCTAGCATGTGGTCTGTCCTGGAGAATGTTCCATGTGCACTTGAAAAAAATGTGTATATATTCTGTTGTTTTTGAACTGAACATTCTCTACGTATCTGTTAAGTCCAGCTCATCCAATGTGTCATCAAAAGCCATTGTTTCCTGGTTGATTTTCTGTTTGGATGACCCATCTATTGATGTAAATGGGGCGTTAAAGTGCCCTACTGTTGTTTTACTGTCTGCTTCTCCCTTCATGTCTGTTAATTTTTGCTTTTTTTAGAAGCTTCTATGTTGGATGCATAGAAATTTACTGTTGTTATATCCTCATTTGAACTCTTTATTATATAATGCCATTCTGTGTATCTTGCTATAGTTTTTGTTTAAAGTCTGCTTTGCCTGATGAAAGTATTGCTAATTGGCGTTTTTCCCCACTGCATTTGCATGGAATATCTCCTTCACTTTCAGTTTATATGTGTCTTTAAGCTTGAAGCGAACCTCTTGTAGGCACCATATAGATGAGTCTTGTTTTTGATTCAGTCAGTCCCCTGTGTCTTTTGATTAGAGCATTTAGTCTCTTTACATTTAAAATAATTGCTGTTAGGTCTGTAGTTAACTGCCATTTTAATAGTTTTCTGGTTGTTTTTGTAGTTTTTCTCTGTCCTTCTCTTGCTCTCTTCCCTTGGGGTTGATGGCTTTCTTTAGTATTATGTTTGGATTACTCTTTATTTTTTATGTATCTATTATGGTTTTTGATTTGTGGTCACCATTGGATTCATATGTAACATCCCATGTGACAGCAGTCTGTTACTTTGTTGTCACTTAAGTTCGAACACATTTGATTTGGTTTTGTTTCATTTTCAATGTAATCTTAGGTTTGTTAGAATGTGTAAATTGTGCTGGGTTCTTGTAGGATTGAGTGAGCTGTTAAATTGTAAAAGGCTTAAATAGCTTGTTTTAAAGAGAGTGTCAGCTAATCCTGAGCTTTAGTAATAACAGGTTCACATAACACAGTTAAAGTGGTCAGAACAGTTTTATAAAGTTAAAGAATTCTTAATTTTTCCGAATCAAACTACTGGTGAGCCCTTCTTTTGAACATCTGTGGACTACATTTATCAATATTTACCATAATGGCAGTTAAAATTAAGAAACTTTAAAAATATTTGTTGATTCCTTTTAAAATAAAATATCCCATTACACATTGACATTTTCATGAACAAAACAAAAATGAGCTAGTGCAAATCTCTCTAATATCTAGCTTAAAGATAATTAGAGCCTCATACCTGCTTCTGCATCAGTCTGTTTTTACATTTTCATCCTACAAAAGTCTTTAAAGCATTTGATGTCATCTGGTAACTGGATATGGTACATGGTCCTCTAGTGGTTGAAAGTTTTCAAAAGCCCTCTCTTATAGTTGCCATTTTTTTCCCTCACTAAACTACAGGCTCTGTGAGGGTGGGGGCTATGGCTGTCTGGTTTTACTGCTCAGTCCCCTAACTCCAAATATGGTTCCACATGGTGGAATTTAGTACAAATATGCTAAGATAGTGAAAATGCAAATAATTTTTTGAGATTTAGAAGTTACACCACCTCATCACCACCCCTATTACATTAACTTCTGTTTTCTTTTTAGATATAACCGAAGGAAGTACTCAGAGATCATGGCTGAAAAAGCAGCAAATGCAGCAGGAAAGAAGTTTCGAAAGAAGAAGAAATTTCGCAATTAAGATTCAGCAATCAAGCCACAGTATTTTATATCTCCCTTTATTTACTCAAGATGTTTTGAAAATTAACAAAATCACACAAATTAATATAGATGGCCCTGTTTGAAAAAAAGTTGACTTGAGGGAGAATCGACACATATCCCTTGGGGTAAAAACAGGTGTGTCTACGAAAGACCCACCCATGCTTAGACCTTTTGAGGGAGAAAAAGGAAAACCTCGACCATTTTAAGATGAATACCATTTTTGTAAAGTTTCAGCACTTGGTTATTTAAAGAAAATTGAATTAAAAACATTTAGAAAGTATAGCTTGTTAACATATACAGAAAGCTTTAGAATTACATGATCAAAACTAAACAATACTGTAGCACATGTGTGCATTTTGTGTGCGTGTGTGTTTTTGTGTGTAGGGGAGACGGTATACCAGAAATGCTGTGTGTGTGTGTGTGTGTGTGTGTGTGTGTGTGTGTCTGTAGGTGTAGGTAGAAGGGAGATGGTATACCAGAAATGCCCTTTTCTAATTTCAGGTCCAGAAAATTGGTGAACCTGGGATACAGAAACCTGCTTGTTGTAAGCATAAAAGTTGTAGTTGAAGCCAAAGTATTCTTGGAGGAAATTTGTGTTAGTATATGACACAAGAAATGAAGCTATATAAAAAGGACTTAAGGTAAAGAAGACTTCCTAGAAAGTTCGGGTTAAGGGTGGACAAAGCAAGAGAACGGTTATCTTTAGCAGTTGAAATAGGAAAGATTAATTTTATTCAGAGTCAGTGTTGTGTTCCAGGTGAACTAGGCATAAATAAGATAATTTTAACTTGGCCAGAAATAATTTTAAAGTGGCTCAGTTTATTTCATCTCCAATAGTAGTACACATCCTGACTGATCTATTTGTGGTACCTAAGGAGTATTGGCAATTTCTCATAACGCATTTTAGTGGGTTCTTCCTTTCATGTCATTGTATATGGAACCTCTATTTTCCCAGCAAACCGCTTGGGATTTCAGTAAATTTAAAATTTCGCATTTTGTATTTATTTTTTGGGATCATAACCAGCCTAGTAATAGAACTGACTGTGACATTCATAGGTGAAGTTAGGCAAATATCTATACCTGTTCTCTTTTACAGAAAAACTTTTATTCCAAGAATATTAAGTTTTGCCTTCTGGGTAAAATAAGGACCAGCTATGAAAGAATTAAATACCAAAACAAGAAGTAACAGTTAGTTTACCCTTTACACATTCTTCCAGAAGGAGTCATTGTTCTCAGAACACTGCTTCGACTCATGCTACTCTGCCGTAAGAACACTCAAAATTGTTAATCATTTGGTATGATCCCTATACACAGAAAGTTTGAGGACTTTACCCAGTTTTTCTCAGGGTCAAGGTGTGGATCAACTTCTTACCTACCATATGATTTTGGGGATGGTTTCTGACTCATGAATGCTACTGTAGGTTGAATTATTTGGTACCTGAAAACTGCAGCCGTGACATATTTCTGATGTTACAGTTCATATTACAAGTAAAACAACATTAGTGACTTATAATCTTTGCCACACAAAAAGCAGCATTAGTGTTTTCTGGATTAGAAGGCAGTGCCAAGGAAAGAGAACTGAGCCTAAGCACTAAGTCCAGCTCTGTCCTTAAGCCACCTTAGGTGTATGTGTTTTGAGTATTTACTTTTAGTTACATTTTAACATGCTCTCTTTTGTCTCCAGATTCATTTTTAATTTTATTTCATTATATTCATTTTTGTAAGCCACTTAAATAACTTGGAACAAGATAGAGTTTTTAACAATTACAAAGTACTTAGTGTAATAAGCTGAAATAATTTAACTAAAAATCATTTAAAGTCACCTCTACTAATGTTTATTTTAAGGAACTGAAACTGGTAATACAGCATCTTCATCTCAAATGTGATCTTCAGAAATTTTAAGTCTTCAAAACTAAAGGGTATCAAAATATAATTACAGGTAAAGGTCAGAAGGTGGTCTTAGTGTTCCCAGTCTTCTATAAATATCTGGAAATTTGAATAACGGATGTATTTTCCTTGGTTTTTTAAGCAAAGCAGTTCTGATGAGAAGCAGGTTTTAGTGACTTTGGCTTGTGTCACTAAAGGTTACTCACTGGGACTCATCTAAGGCTTCCTGACTAGGAGAAGGTACCCTGACTCCTCAACTGAGAAGCATTACAAAGCATACAGAGTGCTGACATGGTAGAGTGTGCGGACAGAAGAAGGGCCTTCAAAATACCCTAAGAGCGCGAAAGATTTCTGAAACACCCCATCTTGCTGCACAGTGCCTTTAAGACCATTTACTAGAAATTCCTATAACACAACTAGTTTGTTAAGTGAGGAAATGAGGGAGAGGAAAAGGAGGGTGGAAGAAATCAGATGGAACCAGGGTGAAATCAGTAAAATGATTCTGTGAAACTGAGTATAACAGTTGGTAAAGGTGGGCTCTGAGCTTCCTAGTATCCGACACAAAAATCAGTTCTGTGATAAAACCTAACTGTTTTAGAGAAACCCCATTATTCCTTATTATTAAGACCTGAGAAACTTCTCATGGATCCCCATAACAAGGATGTCTGTTGAGAGGCCTTAACTTGGCTGCCCAGAGTTCAATACAATCTTTTAAATAATTTTTTTTTTAGATTTTATTTGACAGATCACAAGGAAGCAGAGAGGCAAGGCAGAGGGCAGGGGAAGCAGGCTCCCTGCTGAGCAGAGAGCCTGATGTGGGCTCGATCCCAGGACCTTGAGATCATAACCTGAGCCAAAGGCAGAGGCTTCACCCACTGAGCCACCCAGATGCCCCTGGAGTTCAATATAACTTTAAATAACTGGAATAAACTTAGGGGATCCCACTCTTAGTAAGTTACAAGAAAACATTTAATGACAAAAATGTTCATAATCATTTCTGAGGTATATACATTTTCAGTTCAATCTCTCCGTCACTGACAACTATTGTTCAGAGTGATTACCAGAACATTTTATTGAAAGTTTTCAGTGAAGTCTTCATTAAGATCTTTCAGAAAATCAGGGTTGAAACAAAAATGCTTTCTAATAAGCATCTGGCCAATTGAGATGTAAAATGCAGGTCTTTTATGATTACACAGCTAAAAGTGAGGAAGAAGTGTTTCTAATTTTAAAAGTGAAGAAATAACACTTCCAATTATTAACAATCCCAAGAAGCAGGGTTAGTAGCATGACCTGTAATTAAATGTAATAGCAGATCAGTGTTTTATCAAAGAAATGAAACCTCGGTATGAACTTAAATGTGAAGTTAGGTAACAGTCTCAAGAGGTCCTGAAGTGGAAAAAAGGTCTCAGTAAATCTTAACATGAATGATGAGGAAGGCAAAATTATTTTAGGTAGAGGTGATGGGTGGTGGACAGTAGATGTTTCAGTTATTAGTGCATAACAAGTTATCCCCAAAACTCTGACTCAGAAGCACCACCATGTTCTTACATATCCTGATTGGCGGGCCAGGGCTTGGCTGGGTGGCTTGTACTCTACAGGGTATCAGATGAGGTCACTCGGTGACTCCGCTAGTAGGGGAATTGATCTGGAAGGTTCAAGACACTTACCTAACATGCTTAGCACCTTGTAATGTTCTTTTAAAAATAGGAGGACATGTGAAATTTTTCCTCAGAATAGCACAGAACTGCTATAAAACCAAAAGACCCACATACTTTGTGTGGCACTGAGGCTCTGGACTGGTTAAGTGGACTGAATGCATAGTCATTTAGGAAATTCTACTTTTCACCCACCTCCTTCCTTGTCCTAAAGGAGAAGGAGTTGCTAACAAGATTGAAGTGAGCCCAAGATACTGGGCTCTGTTTTTACAAATGAAGAGAGTTGCTGTATTAACAGGTCAGAAAACATGTGCTGTCACTTCGTGTTAGGGTGCAGGCCTGTCATCCTCTCTTCCAAAGAAGGTGGGAAGGTGGACTTGGGGCTTTCCTGAGCCACACTTTTTCTACTAAAGGTAAGGGATGATGAGGAAATAAGTTGTTCATCGCAACTTAGGTGAGAAGTCATGCAGTCGGGGGTCTCTTCCAGCTATGAGCAGAGTAGTGCCTTCTTCCTCAGGACTCTTAATAGTTACAACCAGAACTGCAAAAGAGGGACTGGTAGGGGCACCTGGGTGGCTCAGTGGGTTAAAGCCTTTGCCTTCAGCTCAGGTCATAATCCCAGGGTCCTGGGATCGAGCCCCACATCGGGCTCTCTGCTCAGCGGGAGCCTGCTTCCCTTCCTCTCTCTGCCTGCCTCTCTGCCTACTTGTGATCTCTGTCAAATAAATAAATAAAATCTTAAAAAAAAAAAAAAAAAAGAGGGACTGGTAAGGCTCAGGCACCAAATCCTGACTTCAAACTCCATGCAACATACTGAAATTCTGAGGTCTTGTTCCTTAGGTGTTTTCCAGATCTTTTTTAAAACGACAGGAAAGAAATATGTGCTTATAGTCATCTGTGTGAACAGAAATGTATGCAGCTTTGTTCAGTCTCTCTCATTCCTTCCTACACCTACCCAAGCCCCATAACTCAGGGAAGTTCAGAAGAGTAACATATTAAAGTAGAAGTACAGACAAGACACATTGTAGTTAACTAGACTTTTTCTATATCTTAAAGTCTGTGTATTATCAGCAAGACTTATTTTTTCCTTAAATGTATATGTGCGCATATGTACACACATACATGCAAAAACAGCAGTGAGATGATGAGTATGTCATAGCTTACTTCTGGAATGTGAAGTTCATTAAAACCTTGGCTAATTTATCTACAATCTGCCCTTCCAGCCAAAGCTGCCATTTCTCCCCACTTCAGCTTCACAACAGGTCATCTCAGCTGCCTCAATGTGGAGGAGACCAGCTATCAAAGTGACATGAAAGGGTACTAAACAACTGGGCCAGTGCCTTCTCCATGCTTTGGTGATTGCAACTGCTGCCCTTTTTATATATTTTACCTTTAGAGAGATTCTTGGTTTTCCCTATAGTGAAATCACTATCCTGATTCAATGAAAAACATGTCAATCAAGATGACCCTACAGTTCCTCAGTCTCAAATTCAATGTCATCAATTCCAGTTACCCTCATTTCCACTCGACTTCAGCCAATTGCTATCATTGCCTTAGATTTGTTACTTGAAACTTCAAAGGTCAAGATTCTGAACTCTCAGGGTACCCCAATCTGTTAGCCTTCCCTTTTATTTTTTTTTTTAAAGATTTGATTTATTCCACAGAGATAAAGAGAACAAGTGGGAGGAGGGGCAAGGGAAGAAGCAGACCCCCTGCTGAGCAGGGGCCTGGGCGGGGAAGGGGGGTTGTATCTGGATCCCAGCACCCTGGGATCAAGACCTGAGCCAAAGGCAGATGCTTAACCAACTAAGCCACCCAGGTGCCTAGCCTTCCTTCCAATCCAGCCTTGGCTGCACTTTGGAATTACCTGAAGTGGCTTCAATAATATGGATGCCTGGGCCCCACCCCCAGAGATTGTGAAGTCCTGATCTCAAGCATTGCACCTGCTCTTACTCTCCCAATCCTCCACCCATCAGGATACATTTTCCTCCTAACCAGTCTGGACCCAATCAGTCAGACATCTCAAAAAATTCTTTGTGGGGCACCTGGGTGGCTCAGTGGGTTAAAGCCTCTGCCTTCAGCTCAGGTCATGATCTCGGGGTCCTGGGATCGAGCCCCGCATCCGGGCTCTCTGCTCAGCGGGGAGCCTGCTTCCCTCTCTCTCTCTCTCTCTCTCTCTCTCTCTCTCTGCCTACTTGTGATCTCTCTCTCTCTCTGTCAAACAAATAAAATCTTAAAAAAAAAAAAAAAATTCTTTGTATCCCATGGTCTCTCTGTTCTCTACTTTTTTCTGTTACTGTCACCTGCCAGGCCCGGCCAGGGAAACACCCACTATTTCTTAAATGTCCAGATTACTGAGCTTTGGGAAACTATCATAAGCTACAGGATCTTCGGCTGGGCTTTCACTGCTGCTCCACAGTTCTTTTATTCAATTCTGATTACTTTCCACCAAATTCATTCGTCTGAAAGCCAGCCAGTCACCACAAAATTGAGTGTTAAAAACTATTTAAGCATCAGGGTACACCAGTGAAGAAGACGTAGCCCCTGAACCCACATTCACTTACCAACTAGCTTCCCAGTAAGGCACTGACCCAAGACAGGATGGCAGGAGAGGGGACAAGTAGGGTATTTCTGTCCGGCTTTAGATTGGGTTGGGGCTCTGCCATTTCCCAGTCTCCACCAGGCAGCCCTCTGCCACTGAATGGCCCAGGCTTCTGGGTTCTGGTAACACCATCTCCTCCCAAAGACCCTGTGGCACTAAGGGTGACTGAGGTTTCCTACTTTTCCAATCTCTGGGTTGCCACACTTTTAGCGCTTCCATCACCATCAATAAAGAATCCCCTTTATTAAATTCCTTAGAGCAATGCATTTTTCTGCCTGGACCCAACTGATACACGTCAGCCAAACCAAACTAGTTGATATGGAGTTTTCAGTCAGTGAGCATACACTGAGTTCTAGGCATGCCAGCCACTCTGCCAGATATAGTGAGTTTTTTTTACCTTTTATATCTGTTCACATGGTTAACCCCACCTAAAATATCCCTTGCTTCTTTCCCACCTAACAAAACACATGACCTTTCAAACTGATAAGAAGCCAGTATTCTGAGCATCTACTCTGTGCAAGGCACGCTGCTGGGGGTATGTCCCAGGCATCACAGAATTGATAGTCAACATTTCTTCATAAAATGTTTTATCAGATTTTCTCTACTGATGTGTACACTCTTGAAATTCCCATTTGAGTGCTTTTTTTTTTTAAATTGTATTTAACAAACACCTATGTAGCACTTACTACTAGGCACTGTTCTAAGAACTTACAAATATAGCGGGTATTTTTTATATAGCAGGTTTTTATGTAACTGTTTATGCATGTATGTATCTATGAGACATACATATATAACAACTCAGGTAACCTTAGGTAAACCTAAGTAGGTGCTACTATTATCCTCATTTTATAAGTGAAGAACAAGAGGCACAGAGAATAACCTGCCTAAGGTCACAGAGCTAGTAATAACTCACACTTTTATTTTAACCTTGCATTTTGGCTATCTGCATACCTGTTTCCACATCACCAGCAAAAACTGCTGAACTTTTCCCCTTTCTTTGCCAGTTACAGATGTGATTTTTACCTGGGAATGTGGCTACCTGGAAAAAAAAAAAAAAAGCTATGATTCTCACCTTCCCATGGGATGTAAATGAAAGCGGTATGTCTGGTTTCTGGGAAGTGTCCCTCAGAGGAGGGTGAGCTTGAAGTGGGGCTCTGTCCCTTTCTCTTCTTCCCACTAACTAGGATGTTGACCTGATGGCAGGGGAGGAGCAGTCTTCTGGTATATCAGGTAAAAAAGCTTCATTTTAAGATGAAAGAATAAAAAGGAGCCTAGATCTCATCTCTCATGACCAAGTAGTTGCCAAAGCCTGAACTTTCACATGAGTAAGAAATCTCCATCTGGTCGAATCCATTATTTTGAATTCCCTGCTACCAAAGCCAATCCTAATCAGTGGGATAATCAATGCATGGCTCCCTGTCCCCCACACTAGGGTGAACTCT